ATGTATTATTATAGCACTTTTCATGCTGCTGCTGCTGCTGCTCTTGTTGTTGTTGTGTGCTTTCAATTCATTTCCAACTTTGGTGACCATGTTGTGGGATTACCTTGGCAAGATTTCTATATATGTAGCTTGTCTTTGCCTTCTTCTGAAGCCAAGGAAGGAGGACTTGCCCAAGCGTTCTCAAGAATATGGACCCTCTAAATCAGTGTTTCACAACCTGGGGGTCGGGACCCCTGGGGGAGGGATCATGAGGGGGTTTCAAACGGGTTGCCAAAGACCACCAAAAAAGACATATTTCTGATGGTCTTAGGAATCCCTTTGCCATGGTCGTTTGGATTCACAGTGCTCTTTGGATGTAGGTGAACTACATCTCTACTAAATCACTGTCAATTCATACTAAATCCCTCTAGTATTTTCTGTTGGTCATGGGGTCTCTGTGTGGGAAGTTTGGCCAATTTCTATCATTGGCGGGGTTCGGAATGCTCTTTGATTGTAGGTGAACTATAAATCCCAGCAACTACAACTTCCAAACGCCAAGATCTATTTTCCCCAAAGTCCGCCAGTGTTCACATTTGGGCATATTGAGTGCTTGTGCCAAGTTTGGTCCAGATCCATCATCGTTTGAGTCCACAGTGCTGTCTGGATGTAGGTGAACTACAACTCCAAAACCCAAGGTCAATGTCCACCAAACCCTTCCAGTATTTTCTCTTGGCTATGGGAGTTCTGTTTGCCAGGTTTGGTTCAATTCCATCATTGTTGCAGTTCAGACTGCTATTTGATTGTAGGTGAGCTATAAGTACCAGCAACTACAACTCCCAAATGTCAAGGTCTAGTTTCCACAAACTCCGCCAGTGTTCACATTTCAACATATTGAGTATTCGTGCCAAGTTTGGTCCAGATCCTTCATTGTTTGAGTCCACAGTGCTCTCTGGATGTAGGTGAACTACAACTCCCAAACTCAAGGTCAATGCCCACCAAACCCTTGCAGTATTTTCTCTTGGTCATGGGAGTTCTGTGTGCCAGGTTTAGTTGAGTTCCATTGTTGGTGGGGTTCAGAATGCTATTTGATTGTAGGTGAACTATAAATCCCAGCAAGTACAACTCCCAAATGACAAAATCAAGTTGACCAGTGGATCTCAACCTTCCTAATGCCGCAACCCCTTAATACAGTTCCTCATGTCGTGGTGACTCCCCAACCATAAAATTATTTTTCTTGCTACTTCATAACTGTATTTTACTACTGTTAGGAATCATCATTTAAACATCTGATATCCAGGATGTATTTTCATTCACTGGAGGACCAAATTTGGCACAAATACTCAATACGCCCAAATTTGAATACTGGTGGGGTTGTGGGAGAGGTTGATTTAGTCATGTGGGAATTGTAGTTGCTAGGATTTATAGTTCACCTACCATCAAAGAGCATTCTGAACTCCACCAATGATGGAATTGAACCAAACTTGGCAGGCAGAACTCCCATGACCAACAGAAAATACCAGAAGGGTTTAATGGGCATTGACCTTGAGTTTGGGAATTGTAGTTCACCTATATCTAGAGAGCACTATGGACTCAAACAATGATGGATCTGGACCACACTTGGCACAAATACTCAATATACCCAAATGTGAACACTAGTGGGAGTTTGGGGAAAATAGACCTTGACATTTGGGAGTTGTGGTTGCTGGGATTTATAGTTCACTTACAATCAAAAAGCATTCTGAATTCCACCAACGATGGAATGGAACCAAACTTGGCACACAGAACTCTCATGATCAAGAGAAAATACTGGAAGGGTTTGGTGGGCATTGGCCTTGAGTTTGGAAGTTGTAGTTCACCTACATCCAGAGAGTAGTGTGGACTCAAACTTCACTTCTTCACTTCACTTCACTTTATTTCTTAATTAGTCACTCTCCACAAAGGTGGTCCGAGTGACTTACAATCTAAAATAGCATTTACACAAAATAAAATAATGATGGATCTGGACTAAACCTGGCACAGATACTCAATATGCCCAAATGTGAACACTGGTAGTGTTTGGGGGAAATAGACCTTGACATTTGGGAGTTGTGGTTGCTGGGATTTATAGTTCACTTACAATCAAAGAGCATTCTGAACTCCACCAACGATGGAATGGAACCAAACTTGGCACACAGAACTCTCATGATCAAGAGAAAATACTGGAAGGGTTTGGTGGGCATTGGCCTTGAGTTTGGAAGTTGTAGTTCACCTACATCCAGAGAGCACTGTGGACTAAAACAATGATCGGTCTGGACCAAACTGGTACGTGGTCTGTCACCGCTGGAGCCAAAATGAGGTGTTTTTAAGAGAGGATGTTAGGCTTGCATCCAGCGGGAAGCCAGGGCCCCCGAAAAGAAGCCTTTAGGAAAATTTCTCTTATTAAGCAGTCTTTATGAGGCTTGAGCTTAAATATAACAGTTCTTTATTAATGAACAAACAGGAATTGTAAGCTTTCTTAACAGACTATTAGCTCTTGCAATCTTGTTTACAGGAAACAGGCACTATCTTCACATACTTTGCTCAAAGGAAAATTCCCCTATTTAGCTCCTCCCAGGCTGCTGTGAACCTAAACCTGACTGATTTGAGTCTACTACCGGCTGATGAGCAGAGCTGTTATTCCCTCCGGAAGTCCTCAGGGCTGTAAAGCTGTTTCCCTGGAACCCTTTGGGAATCTGTAGAGGCTCTCAAGACTGTTCTCCCCCGGAAAGTCTTAAGGGACGAAGCCTTTGTACAGGAGAAAGTCTGTATACATCCTCTGCATAGACTTCCTTTGCTGAGACTGACTGAAAAATGGCCCCTTCCCTCCAAAAAACCCAGAGAGGGGTGGGACCAGGGAACCTAACTGTTATTGACAGGTGGCTTGCCCTATGAATGCAAATTATAACAGGAAGCCACCCTGCTGCAAAATCCCAAGCCTGGGATTGCAAACCAACATTCAATTCAAAGCAAACAAAATTGGAGCTCCTGGAACAGCTGTTCCAGAACAGTGCGAATACGCAATATGTCCAAATGTGAACACTAGTGGAGTTTGGGGAAAATAGACCTTGACATTTGGGAGTTGTGGTTGCTGCGATTTATAGTTCACTTACAATCAAAGAGCATTCTGAACTCCACCAACAATGGAATGGAACCAAACTTGGCACACAGAACTCTCATGACAATCAACAGAAAATACTGGAAGGGTTTGGTGGGCATTGGCCTTGAGTTTGGAAGTTGTAGTTCACCTATACCTAGAGAGCACTGTGGACTAAAACAATGATCGGTCTGGACCAAACTTGGTACGAATACACAATATGTCCAAATGTGAACACTAGTGGAGTTTGGGGGAAATAGACCTTGACATTTGGGAGTTGTGGTTGCTGGGATTTATAGTTCACTTACAATCAAAGAGCATTATGAACTCCACCAACGATGGAATAGAACCAAACGTGGCACAAAAGAACTCCCGTGACCGACAGAAAACACTAAAAGGGTTTGGTGGGCATTGGCCTTGAGTTTGGGTGTTGTAGTTCACCAAAATCCAGAGGTCACTGTGGATTCAAACAATGATGGGTCTGGACCAAACTTGGCATGAATACTCAATATGCCCAAATGTGAACACTGGTGGAATTTGGGGGAAATAGACCTTGACATTTGGGAGTTGTAGTTGCTGGGATGTATAGCTCACCTAGAGGCAAAGAAGTTGTACTTGATGACATTTGGGAGGTGTAGTTGCTTGGATGGATAGTTCACGTAGAGCCAAAGAAGGAGTTGTACTTGCTGACATTTGGGAGTTGTAGTTGCTGGCATGTATAGTTCACCTAGAGTCAAAGAAGGCGTTGTAGTTCCTGGGATGTATAGTTCACCTAGAGCCAAAGAAGGAGCTGTACTTGCTGGCATTTGGGAGTTGTAGTTGCTGGCATGTATAGTTCACCTAGAGTCTACAACTACAATGCCTTCTTTGACACCTAGAGTCAAAGAAGGCGTTGTAGTTGCTGGGATTGATAGTTCACCTCCAATCATAGAATCATAGAATCAAAGAGTTGGAAGAGACCTCATGGGCCATCCAGTCCAACCCCATTCTGCCAAGAAGCAGGAATATTGCATTCAAAGCACCCCTGACAGATGGCCATCCAGCCTCTGCTTCAAAGCCTCCAAAGAAGGAGCCTCCACCACAATCCGGGGCAGAGAGAGAGTTCCACTGCTGAACGGCTCTCACAGTCAGGAATATTCAGATCATAGAATCATAGAATCAAAGAGTTGGAAGAGACCTCATGGGCCATCCAGTCCAACCCCATTCTGCCAAGAAGCAGGAATATTGCATTCAAATCACCCCTGACAGATGTCCATCCAGCCTCTGCTTAAAAGCTTCCAAAGAAGGAGCCTCCACCACACTCCGGGGCAGAGAGTTCCACTGCTGAACGGCTCTCACAGTCAGGAAGTTCTTCCTAATGTTCAGATGGAATCTCCTCTCTTGAGAGCAATGAAAGAGCATTCTGAACCCAACGAAGGATAGAAAGGGGCCAAAGTCCCCCCCCCCCCCCCCCGAGAACTCCCCCTGGCCCTGTATGCCAGGCTCCAATCCCAGAGGATCTGCTCCACTCCAGGAAGCCTTTCTTGGCGTGTATAAGAAGACCGTGTGAAATACAGTCTAAATGAGAGAAGTCTTCACATGCCTGTAAACATGGAAGGTGGTCAGAGGCACTGCCAGAGAAGCTGCGGGCGGGGAGGTCCGGGCGTGCAGGGCGGGGCGAGGCACCCCTTCCGAAGGGCAGCCATGGTTTGCTCCGGCCCTTGGCTCCGCCCCCTCCCTCTCCCCCTTCTCTCCGGCCCCGCATCCCTCCCTCCCTCCCCGCCTGCCTCCCTGCCTGCCTGCCTGCTCCTGCCCAGCTGCTGCCCGCCCGCCCACCTTCCCGGCCTTCCCGGCTGCCTGCCCTCCGTCCTCGCTTCTGGGGCTTGGCGAGAGGAGCGAGGGTCTCTAGGGCAGGCCCCTCCTCCCCCCTCCCCTCCCCTCCTCGGGGGGGCATGACGCTTTTTGGCCCCGGAGAAGGAGAAGGAGAAGGCGCCTGGCGGGGTGAGTGAGTATTCTGCGCCGTGTGCCGGGCTTTGGGGTCTCCACACCGGCACGGCATCCTCCCCGGAGAGAAGGGCGGCCCCCACCCACCCCTCTTGGTGGGCAGGGAAAGCCCGCTGCCCAGCAGGCCTGAGCAACCTCCGGCCCTCCCTCCCTCCCTCCCTCCCTCCGTGTGCTTTGGACTCCAACTCCCACCATTCCTCACAGCTTCAGGCCCCTTCTCTTCCCACCCAGGGTGTTTGTTTTGAAGGCGTGGAAATCCTAGTTGATGAAGGCCATTCACCCTACTGCTGGCACTGGAGCAGGCCTGAGCAAACTTGGGCCCTCCTTTCCTCCCTCCAGGTGTTGTGGACTCCAACTCCCACCATTCCTCACAGTCTCAGGCCTCTTCCTTTTCCCCCTCAACCGCTTAAGCTGAGTGCTGGGTCCATAACCAACCTTAGGCTCTGTTGCCTGTGTGGAGTGCAAGGAAGCTTCCTCTACAGCAGGTCTGGGCCAACTTGGGCCCTCAATCCAGGTGTTTTGGGCCCCACCTCCCATCATTCCTCACAGCCTCTGGCCCCTTCCTCCCTCCCCCCCCCCAGGTGTGTTTGTTTTGAAGGCAAGGCTGTGCACTTCAGCCAGCAGAAACCATAGTTGCTGAAGCTCATTCACCCTACTGCTGGCACTAGAGCAGGCCTGAGCAAACTTGGACCCTCCCTCCAGGTGTTGTGGACTCCAACTCCCACCATTCCTCACAGCTTCAGGCCCCTTCCTTTCCCCCCTCAGCCACTTAAGCTGAGTGCTGGGCCCAGAACCAGTGTTAGTTCATTCCTTTATTGTCCTGTCTCTCTATGAGTTCTCCTTTACAAATAATTTGACTCTTTTATCTCACCCTGAGTTTTTAAACCATTTTATGTACATGCGGCCCGCTCACTGTCATCATGTTTGGTTTACTGCTTTTTTCCCCCTTTTGTTTTGTGTATTTTGTTTATATGCTTATATGTTTTATATTTTAATGCTATGTTGTTTATTTTATTGCAATGTGTATCTTATTATTATTATTATTATTATTATTATTATTATTAACTTTATTTGTACCCTGCTAGCATCTCCCGAAGGACTCGATGCGGCTTACACAGGCCGAAGCCTCAAAACACAATACAATAGAAAACATAACACAACAATAAACAAAGCAAATCAAAACAATTAAGCAAAATAACAACAATGACAATACATCAATACGTCAAGACACTATTAAAACTGGTTCGGCCGGTGCAATGGGTACAGGGTTAAAAGTGCTGAGATGGCAGGAGGAACGTAGGATTCAAAGTGTGGTGTGCAGCAACATTGGTTGTGCTAAAGTGCTTCTCGGACTTGGGACGGGGATTCCTAATCTGCGAAGGCACATCGGAACAGCCAAGTTTTTAGGTTCCTTCTGAAAACTGCTAGAGTAGGGGCCTGACGAAGCTCTTTTGGAAGGGCATTCCAAAGTCGGGGGGCCGCCACAGAGAAAGCCCTGTCCCGTGTCCCCACCAAGCGCGCTTGCGACGTAGGTGGGATCATGAGCAGGGCCTCCCCAGATGACCGGAGCGAGCGTGTGGGTTCGTAGATGGAGATGCAATCTTATTCTATTGTAACTTGTTGTTTGGGCTTGGCCTCATGTAAGTCGCCCTAAATCCCCGTTGGGGGAGATGGTGGCGGCGGGGTATAAATAAAGATTATTATTATTATTATTATTATTATTATTATTATTATTATTAGGCTCTTTTGCCTGTGCGGAGTGCAAGGAAGCTTCTTCTACAACAGGCCTGGGCCAACTTGGGCCCACCCTCCCTCCAGGTGCTTTGGACTCCAACTCCCACCATTTCTAACAGTATCAATCAGGCCTGGGCAAGCTTGGGCCTTCCCTCCCTCCAGGTGTTTTGGACTCCAGCTCCCACAATCTCTAACAGTCTCGGGCCCCTTCCTTTTCCCTTTCCTTTTCCACTTAAGCAGCTGAGGGGGAAAAGGAAGAGGCCTGAGGCTGCGAGGAATGGTGGGAGTTGGAGTCCAAAACACCTGGAGGGAGGGCCCAAGTTTGCCCAGGCCTGGTTACCCTCCATTAAGTGGCTGGGGCGGGAAGGAAAGGGCCTGAGGCTGTTAGGAATGGTGGGAGTTGGAGTCCAAAACACTGGAGGGAGGACAGAAGTTGGCCCAGGTCTGATTGACACTGCTAGGAATTGTGAGAGTTGGAATCCAAAACACATGGAGGGCCCAATTTTGCCCAAGCCTGATTGACACCCTGCTTAAGCGGCTGAGGGGAAATAGGAAAAGGCCTGAGGCTGTGAGGAATGATGGGAGTTGGAGCCCAAAACACCTGGAGGGAAGGCCCAAGTTGGCCACAGCCTGCTGTAGAGGAAACTTCCTTGAACTCCGCACAGGCAACAGAGCCTAATGTTGGTTACGAGCCCAGCACTCAGCTCCAGTGGCTGAGGGGGAAAAGGAAGGGGCCTGAGGCTGTGGGGAATGGTGGGAGTTGGAGTCCAAAACCTGGAGAGACGCAGGGCCCTAGTTTGCCCAGGACTGGTATAAATACATACCACCACCATCATCATCATACCAAAACATTGGCCACAGTAAATGTGTCAGCAGAGTTTGCAATGGACTCTGCATTAAAATGCTTTGGACGTGCTTCAATGAAATCAGGGGGAAATCAGCCTGTTTAGCAAACCTTGCAAATGCTGCTTTGTTATTAGGAACCTATGCTAGATAGTCTACCTACAGACGTCAAAAGAAGCCCCCATTCTAAGACCCCTCCCACGCCACTCTCTAACATCCACACTGAACTGGATGCTATGGCAGCGTGGACTCGGATCGCCCAGTTCAAAGCAGATGTTGTGCCTGATCTGCCTTGATCAGTCGTAACATTGTAATGTCAAAGTGCTAGTATGTGATACATAATATTAATAATGTTGTAATATAATATATTGTATCGAAGGGAGTTGGAGTAAAGGTTTTCCCCTGACATTAAGTCCATTAAGGGTTGATGCTCATCTCCATTTTGAAGCCAAAGAGCCGGCATTGTCCATAGACATCTCCAAGATCATGTGGGCAGCATGGCATGACTGCATGGAGTGCTGTTACCTTCCTGCAGAAGTGGTACCTATTGATCTGGAGACTAGGACGCAATGGAGCAATGGCTTCAAACTACAAGAAAGGAGATTCCATCTGAACATGAGGAAGAACTTCCTGACTGTGAGAGCCGTTCAGCAGTGGAACTCTCTGCCCCGGAGTGTGGTGGAGGCTCCTTCTTTGGAAGCTTTTAAACAGAGGCTGGATGGCCGTCTGTCAGGGATGATTTGAATGCAGTATTCCTGCTTCTTAGCAGAATGGGGTTGGACTGGATGGCCCAGGAGGATTCTAAGATAGTATGTCTGTGAGAGCTGTTCAGCAGTGGAACTCTCTGCCCCGGAGTGTGGTGGAGGCTCCTTCTTTGGAAGCTGTTAAACAGAGGCTGGATGGCCATCTGTCAGGGGTGATTTGAATGCAATATTCCTGCTTCTTGGCAGAATGGGGTTGGACTGGATGGCCCAGGAGGATTCTAAGATAGTATGTCTGTGAGAGCTGTTCAGCAGTGGAACTCTCTGCCCTGGAGTGTGATGGGGGCTCCTTCTTTGGAGGCTTTTACACAGAGGCTGGATGGCCATCTGTCAGGGGTGATTTGAATGGATTTTCCTGCTTCTTGGCAGAATGGGGTTGGACTGGATGATGGCCCAGGAGGATTCTATGATAGTATGACTGTGAGAGCTGTTCAGCAGTGGAACTCTCTGCCCCGGAGTGTGGTGGAGGCTCCTTCTTTGGAAGCTTTTAAACAGAGGCTGGATGGCCGTCTGTCAGGGATGATTTGAATGCAGTATTCCTGCTTCTTAGCAGAATGGGGTTGGACTGGATGGCCCAGGAGGATTCTAAGATAGTATGTCTGTGAGAGCTGTTCAGCAGCGGAACTCTCTGCCCTGGAGTGTGATGGGGGCTCCTTCTTTGGAGGCTTTTACACAGAGGCTGGATGGCCATCTGTCAGGGGTGATTTGAATGGATTTTCCTGCTTCTTGGCAGAATGGGGTTGGACTGGATGATGGCCCAGGAGGTCTCTTCCAACTCTCGGATTCTATTATTCTATGTATATTGGTATCCAGCACTTTCCAGGGAATTGGGGGCCTGGGGGCAAAATAAAATGTATTATTTTATTATTTTGTGTATTTTATCATATGCATTTTTATGAAATCGGAAGACTATTTCGTGATTTAAGGTGTTGGCGTGCTGGCTGATATCCGAACATGGGCTGGGCCAGATCGTAAACATTCTATAATCATTGTAAACATTCTATAAAATACACACACACACACACATATATAAAACCTATAATAGAAAAATATGATCTAATTGTATTACATTATTTAGCAACTTTGCTCTTCTTTCTCTTATTTTTAGCCACTAAACGCCATTCCGGGCCAATCTTTTAAATATTCTACTTATGCATTCCGCACAAAGCTTCTGATTATTTTGAAAACATTGTATTGATTTATTGTCGAAGGCTTTCATGGCTGGAATTACTGGGTTGTTGTAGGTTTTTCGGGCTATATGGCCATGTTGTAGAAGCATTCTCTCCTGACGTTTCACCTGCATCTATGGCAAGCATCCTCCGGAGTCAGTTTCTCAAATTCTGCAAAATGGAACGGTTGGATCAACCACTCACTTGCAGATAGAGTCACACTTCCTCTTCCAGCGCCTGGCATAAATTATTTGGGCAGCTGTTACGGCGTTTTATGTTGATGTGTTTTGACTGAGCCATGAGGAGAGCCCAGTAACAAATAAAAATATTCCTAGTTGTAGCAGTAGTAGTAATATTAAAACACAAACTACATTTGGAAAGGCACAGAAGATTTGGAACAGATGCCGAAGAGACCATACTGTCTCATACAGAATGTACCCAAAGAGAAACCTTTCTCTGCCTTTCGCATTCGTGTTCGAAGTCCCAAAGGTCAGGAGAGAATGCTTCTGGAACATGGCCATGCAGCCCAGAAAACTCACAGCAGCCCAGTTTGTTTATTTATTTACTAGCCGTCCCCTGCCACACGTTGCTGTGGCCCACATGGAGGTTCTGTGTGCCAAGTTTGGTTCAATTCCATCGTTGGTGGGGTTCAGAATGCTCTGTGATTGTAGGTAAACGACTCCGGCTCAATTTACCTGTCCGAACGTATCCCCCCTATGAGCCATCAAGATTATTCAGATCGTCTGGAGGGGCCCTGCTCTCGGTCCCACCGGCCTCACAGGCGCGGCTGGTGGGGACGAGAGACAGGGCCTTCCCGGTGGTGGCCCCTCGACTCTGGAACTCCCTTCCACTGGAGATCAGAACTGCCCCTTCTATCTTAACGTTCAGGAAACAGGTGAAAACTTGGCTTTGGGGATTGGCTTTCAACGAATGAGCCATGATCCTGTGATATGGATGGAGGACGACGAATTTTTGATGACGACTGACCACTGTAATCATATGATTGTATTTTGCCATTTTAATGTTTTAGTGTGATTTAGAATATGACTGTCTGTAATATTGATGTTGGAAACCGCCTGAGTCCCTTCGTACGAGGTGAGAAGACCGGTATACAAAAACTGCAAATAAAATAAATAAATAGTGAACTATAGTCAGAGTCCACTGGCCTGGTGTGCGCGTCGTATTCTGTGGGTTTTCCGTCAAAGTCTCCCCCCCCCCCCCCCCCAAATTCCACTGTTACATTTGGGCATATTGAGTATTCATGTGAGTTTGGTCCAGATCCATCATTGTTTGAGTCCACAGTGATCTCTGGATGTAGGTGAACTACAACTCCAAAACCAAAGGACACTGCCCACTAAACCCTTCCAGTATTTCCTGTTGTTCATGGGAGTTCTGTGTGCCAAGTTTGGTTCAATTCCATCATTGGTGGGGTTGAGAATGCTCTTTGATTGTAGGTGAACTATAAATCCCAGCAACTACAACTCCCAAATGACAACATCATTTTTTTTTTGAGTGAAGGGCATACATTGGGTTGTTAGGTGTCTTGTGTCCAAATTTGGTGTCAATTCGTCCAGTGGCTTTTGAGTTCTGTTAATCCCACAAACGAACATGACATTTTGATTTATATAGATTTCCTCTATTTATACCTGGCTCTTCTCCCCCCGAAACGGGACTCAGGGCGGCCTCACAAAAGCATCATACGATGTTAGCATCGTAAAAGCAACCACAGTACAATCAAAATATTAAAAAATATTGAAACAACAATTAAAACAATTAATGAATGTATTGTTGAAGGCTTTCATGGCCGGAATCACTGGGTTGTTGTAGGTTTTTTCGGGATGTATGGCCATGGTCTAGAGGCATTCTCTCCTGACGTTTCACCTGCATCTGTGGCAAGCATCCTCACTACCTCTGAGGATGCTTGCCATAGATGCAGGTGAAACGTCAGGAGAGAATGCCTCTAGACCAGGGGTAGGGAACCTTTGGCCCTCCAGCTGTGGTGGACTTCAACTCCCACAATTCCTTGAGGCTCGGCATTGGGCCAAGGTAAGCCTTTGGGGCGAATGCCGAGCCTCAAGGAATTGTGGGAGTTGAAGTCCACCACAGCTGGAGGGCCAAAGGTTCCCTACCCCTGCTCTAGACCATGGCCATATAGCCCGAAAAAACCTACAACAACGCAACAATTAATTAAGACACATCCATTAAAATCGAAATCCAAAAACCAGCCCGGGTCAATTCATTGCCTTAAGTGGTGTGTTCTTCTTCCACTTGCTGCTCACTGATCCAACGCTTGGTCCCATCATCAGGTCTTGATTTTCCTTCTAAAAGACAAGAGGGAGGGCGTTCCATAGGCGGAGGGCCACTGCTGAGAAGGCTCTGTCTCTCTCGTCCCCATCTACCGTGTTTGCGATTGTGGTGGGATCGAGAGCAGGGTCTCTCCTGAAGATCTTAAACTTCGTGATGGTTCATGGCAGGAGATACATTAGGAGAATTCATCTACCCATTTATTTATTTTATTTATTTACCTGACTTCTATACCGCTGTTCTCAGCCCGAAGGCGACTCACAGCGGTTCACAACAAATAAGAACAGCAAAAATTCAGTGCTACAGTATAAAACAGTTAACAACCTAACACATTACACAATTAATAAACAGTTACTACAATACCCATTCACTGTCGTCTCGTCATCAAAAACATGATCCAGATTCGTCATCCATTGATCCATTCCAGTGTTCATTAAACAATCATTGCACTAATTATTCGAACGCCTGTTCAAACAGCCCGGTCTTCACTTTCCTGCGGAATACCATTAGAGATAGTCTAATGTCCGTAGGAAGGGCGTTCCACAGCCAGGGAGCCACCACCGAGAAGGCCCTATCTCTCGTCCCCGCCAGCCGTGCTTGAGAAGCAGGCGGGATCGAGAGCAGGGCCTCCCCGGAAGATCTCAAAGTCCTGGTGGGTTCATAGGCAGAGATGCGGTCGGATAGGTAGCTTGGGCCGGAACCGTTTAGGGCTTTAAAGGCCAACACCAGCACTTTGAATTGAGCCCGGTAGCAGATCGGTAGCCAGTGGAGTTGGCGCAACAGGGGGGTTGTATGCTCCCTGCGCTCCGCTCCTGTTAAATCATGGCTGCCGAGCGTTGGACTAGTTGGAGCTTCCGAGCCGTCTTCAAAGACAACCCCACGTAGAGAGCGTTGCAGTAGTCTATACGGGATGTAACCAGAGCGTGGACTACCGTGGCCAAGTCAGACTTCCCAAGGTACGGGTGCAGCTGGCATGCACTTACGCTCTCCTAGTTGAGACCAGCCATTGTACGGCGTAATTTCTTTTGCTCAGTGGATACCTTCGTGCTTGTGTTCTTTTCTGCTCTGCAGTTTCCCTCTCACGTGATTCTCCTTTCTCCTAGATCTAGACATGGCGCGGGAACCTAAGCTGAGCCATTCCAGGCCTGGTCAGAAGAGGCAACACAGCGGAAGCCTGTATTCGTAAGTATTTGCTCTCACTTGCTGATCGCTCTGCTGGTAACCGTTTGAGCCACACCATCTTGGCTTTGGGGGTCCTCCTGGATTCTTCATCATCATTTAATAACTTATTAATCGCCCTCCATCCGAGAATGCTCTAGGCCCGTGATGGTGAACCTATAACACACGTGTCAGCACTGACACGCATGGCTATTTTTGATGACACACAGACACATGCAGCCGCATACAGAGAAGTACACCTTATAAGAGCCAATCTAATTCCATCCTTCAATTTGTAAAAGGCTCTACAAATTTAACATCTGCACGTTGGAGCATTGTTCACTCCATAACTCAGTATGGATTACATATTTTTCCTTATTTAAACTATAAATATTGTAAAATTATGGTTTGTTTTTTTCTCTTGAAGTGACACCCCACCCAAGTTATGCTCGGGTTTTTTGGGAATTTTGACACACCAAGCTCAAAAGGTTGCCCATCACTGCTCTAGGCGATTTACAGCTAAATTGTAAAAGATAAAATGCATATATACAAAAATTAAAAATCAACAGAGATCTAATGCTCTAGTAAAAAGCCAGGTCTTAAGTGCAAGAGTAAAAGGTCCTAAGTCACGCATGGCTCTCATCGAGGGCGGCAAGGAATCCCACAATAAGGCCGGGGCAGGAATAGAGAAAGCCCACCTGCGCCCGGTCCTTTCCAAGGGCACTTCTCTAGGACCCAGTCTATGGAGTAAGTCATGTTGGGCTGGTCGTTGCGACCTCCGATGATGGGAGAAGGAGAGGCGGTCCCTAAGGTACGATGGACCCTGGCCGTAAAGAGCTTTAAAGGTCAGAACTAGCATCTCAGACAGGCCACAGTGGGACTCAGTTGGAAGCCAATGCAAATGCTGCAACACTGGTGTTCTATGGCATTTCATGGGTGTTCTTGTGAGTAACCTGGCTGCCACGTTCTGAACAATATGGAGCTTTCGGGTTGTAGACATAGGAAGGCCCACATACAGGGCATTGCAATAGTCCAGCCTAGACGTGACCGTGGCATGGGTGACCGTTGCCAGAGCCTCGTCAGATAGGGAGGGTGCCAGTTGCCTCGCTTGTCGTAGATGGAAAAAGGCCTGTTTGCTGGCAGCAGCCACCTGAGCTCCCATTGTCAGCTGTGAATCCAGGATGACGCCTAAGCTCTTCACAGTGGTCGATGGAGAGAGGGCGGCACCATCGAAGGTGGGCAACGGAGGAGTCAGACCTGCCGGGCGGCCATGCCAGAGAATCTCAGTCTTTGCCGGGTTCACCTTCAGTCTGCTAGCATGTAGCCAGTTCGACAGAGCCTCCAGACATAAGGTGAAATTGTCTGGAATTGACGTTGCTCCAGGTTCCAAACGCAGAAGGAGTTGGGTGTCGTCTGCATACTGGTAGCCGTCCAGGCCGAAACTCCGAGCCAAACTAGCAAGGGGTCTAACGTAGATGTTGAAGAGAAGAGGAGAGATAATGGCATCTTGGGGGACCCCACATAGGAGGGGGGATCTATCGGAGACTTGATCCATGTACTCCACGCGTTGACTCCGGTTCCGGAAAAATGAGTTGAACCAATTGAGGGCCTGACCACGAACTCCGGACATGGCAAGACGGTGAATCATTAGATCGTAGTCGACGGTGTCAAACGCTGCAGTAAGGTCGAGAAGTACCAGTAGCGCGGATCCACCGTTGTCAGACTGGCGACGGAGTTCATCCGTAATGGCAACCAGGATTCAACGCTGTCACTTGATGCTCAGGTGTCGGCAGTGGCTGGGAGAACCTTTGCACAACTCAAACTTGTGCACCAGCTGTGACCAGCTGCAACCATACCTCGTGACGTCTGACTTGGGCAAAGTGGCCCACTCCTTGGTTACATCCAGACTGGACTACTGCAATGCGCTCTACGTGGGACTCCCCTTGAAGAAAGCCTGGAAATTTCAACTGTTACAATGGGCAGCAGCCAAGCCCCTTAATGGAGCAAACTATAGGAAACATACAACACCCCTATTAAAATAGCTTCATTGGCTGCCGATAAGTTGCTGAGCCAGATTCAAGGTGCAGGTCATATCTATTAAGCCCTAAACCAGTGTTTCTCAACCTGGGGGTCAGAACCTCTGGGGGGGTCACAAAGGGGTGTCAGAGGGGTCATCAAAGACCATCAGATAATACAGTATTTTCTGTTGGTCATGGGGGTTCTGTGTGGGAAGTTTGGCCCAATTCATTGTTGGGGTTCAGAATGCTTCTTGATTGTAGGTGAACTATAAATCCCAGCAAGTACAACTCTCAAATGACAAAATCAATCCCTTCCCCCAACCCCACGAGTATTCAAATTTGGGGAAATGGGGTATTTGTGCCAAATTTGGTCCAGTGAATGAAAATAAATCCTGCGTATGTATGGGTTGCTTACCTGTATCCATGTTTCTCGGAGTGGTCACCTGTGAATTCGAACATATGGTATTTCCTGCCATATGTGCGATTGACAGTTGAACACCATGGAGAAGTAAGGGTTGCTTACCTGTATCCATGTTTCTCCGAGTGGTCACCTGTGAATTCGGACATATAGTATTTCCTGCCATATGTGTGATTCACAGTTGACCACCATGAAGAAGTAAGGGTTGCTTACCTGTATCCATGTTTCTCCGAGTGGTCACCTGTGAATTTGGACATATAGTATTTCCTGCCATATGTGTGATTCACAGTTGAACACCATGAAGAAGTAAGGGTTGCTTACCTGTATCCATGTTTCTCCGAGTGGTCACCTGTGAATTTGCACATATGGCGGGAAATACTATATGTGCGATTCACAGTTGACCACAATGGAGAACAGATGTTTACGTTACGATTCATAACAGTAGCAAAATGAGAGTTAGGAAGTAGCAACGAAAATAATGTTATGGTTGGGGGTCAACGCAGCAGGAGGAACTGTATGAAGGGGTCCCGGCATGAGGAAGGTTGAGAACCACTGGTCTAATTGTAATCATCATATCTTTCTTTGGTCATTAATCCCATTCATGACTTGAATTAGGGGAGTGCTGTTGCACGTCCATGCTCAGATCGGAAAAAGAAGCCAAATGATGAGGCCACTGGTCGAAGCAATGGAAACAAAAGGACTGAACAAAGAGTCCCAAAATAACTCGGAGGAGCAAACAATAGCTGCACGAGAGTCGCTTTTCTGGAATTCCTGGCTTCCGCTCTCCTTGTCGCTGCCAATGTGCCCTTCCGCCATGCCTTTAAAGGAGGGCTGTTGCTATTGCTGGCCAGGCATGAGCCATTCTGAAATCTCTCTGAAATGCCATCGTCCCCTTTGTCCCATGACTCGGGGGGGGGGGGGCGGACGATGACGAGCACTCCCTGGCCCTCAGCACTGTTTGGGCACCGAGGGGGCATGACGAGCACATCCTGGGCAAAGGAGTTCAGGAGAGGGAGGAATTTCCAAAAGCTACTTTGACCAGTGCGGCACCTATTTTAGAAGATGAATGCGCCAGCATCCGTGAGGTGAAGGCACAAGCAATGCGATGGCTCTCACTACCTCTGAGGATGTTTGCCATAGATGCAGGCGAAACGTCAAATGCCTCTAGAACATGGCCATCTATAGCCCTACAACAACCCAGTGATTCCGGCCATGAAAGCCTTCGACAATGCGATGGTTGTTCTGGCAGGGACATGTCATAGAATCATAGAATCCTAGAGTTGGAAGAGACCTCCTGGGCCATCATCCAGCCCAACCCCATTCTGCCAAGAAGCAGGAATATTGCGTTCAAATCACCCCTGACAGATGGCCACCCAGCCTCTGCTTAATAATAATAATAATAATAATAATAATAATAATAATAATAATAATAGAATCCTAGAGTTGGAAGAGACCTCCTGGGCCATCCAGAATATTGCAAAGCACCCCTGACAGATGGCCATCCAGCCTCTGTTTCAAAGCTTCCAAAGAAGGAGCTTCCACCACACTCCGGGGCAGAGAGTTCCACTGCTGAACGGCTCTCACAGTCAGGAAGTTCTTCCTCATGTTCAGGTGGAATCTCCTCTCTTGTAGTTTGAAGCCATTGCTCCATTGCGTCCTAGTCTCCAAGGAAGCAGAAAACAAGCTTGCTCCCTCCTCCTCCCTGTGGCTTCCTCTCACATATTTATACATGGCTCTCATCATATCTCTTCTCATCCTTCTCTTCTTCAGACTAAACATGCCCAGCTCTTTCAGCCGCTCCTCATAGGGCTTGTTCTCCAGACCCTTGATCATTTTAGTCGCCCTCCTCTGGACACATTCCACCTTGTCAATCTCTCTCTTGAGTTGTGGTAAAGTGGTCCAACCAAGGCAGAATAGAGCATGGGGAGCAGGACTTCCCTAGATCTAGACACTAGGCTCCTCTTGATGCAGGCCAAAATCCCATTGGCTTTTTTTGCCGCCACATCACACTGTTGGCTCATGTTCCCCTTCCTCCCCACGAGGACTCCAAGATCTTTTCCCACTCCTGGCTCATGTTTAACTTGTTGTCCACAAGGACTCCAAGACCTTTTTCACACGTCCTGCTCTCGGGCCAGGCCTCATCGTCCCCCATTCTGTCTCTTTGCATTTCATTTTTCCTGCCTAAGTGGAGTTCTCTTGCATTTGTCCCTGTTGAACTTCATTGTGTTAGTTTTGGCCCATCATCTCTCTCATCTGTCAAGATCGTTTTGAATCCTGCTCCTGTCCTCTTTCCCTGTGACGGTTGCAGATTGGACCAATAGGGGCGAAGCGGCACAAAACCCTTTCCTTTTGGTATTGAGGCGTAAGCGTGGGCTCCAGAGATTGACAGCGGAGGCAGCTCGCACTGAGTGGGAAGCTTCCCGGAGGATGCGAGCTGGAAAATGGCAATTATTCTGCAAAGCATTCCAAGCATTTCTCCAGCAACTTGGCTCCCATGCTCTCCCCATCCCCACCCCCCACCCCCCATACACAAGATGACAACTACTTTCCAACAGCAGGGATAGAAGTGTGTAATAATAATAGGGTTATCACGCTTCCTCCTCCTCCTCCATGACATTTCTGTGTCCAGGTATAACACTTTATATACACTGCCATTTAAAATCCAGATTATCCGCATTATTTATTTATTTATTTACTAGCTGTACCCGCCATGCATTGCTGTGGCCAACCTTCCCTCTTTCTCTCCTTTCTCTCCTTTCCCTCTTTCCTTCACTCCCTATTTCCCTCTCTTCTTCCTTCCTTCTCTATCTCTTTCCTTCCTTCCCCCTTTTTCTTTGGCTGTCTTTCTTTTCTTCCTTCTCTCTTTCCTTCTTTCCTTCCCTCCCTCTTTCTCTACATCTTCCCCCCTTCCTTCGCTCCCTCTTTCCTTCCTTCTTTCCCTCTTTTCTTTCCTTCTCTCTCATTCCTTCCACTAACTTTCCTTCCTTCCTTCACTCCCTCTTTCCTTCCTTCCTTCCTTCCTTCCTTCCTTCCTTCCTTCCTTCCTTCTTTCCCGTCTTTCCTCCTCCTCTTCCTTTCTTCTCTCTCTTTCCTTCCTTCCCCCTTTTTCTTTCTCTTCTGCTGTCTCTCTTTTCTTCCTTCTCTCTTTCCTTCTTTCCTTCCCTCCCTCTTTCTCTACATCTCCCCCCTTCCTTCACTCCCTCTTTCCTTCCTTCTTTCCCTTTTTTCTTTCCTTCTCTTCTTCCTTCCTTCTCTATGTCTTTCCTTCCTTCCCGCTTTTTCTTTCTCTTCTGCTGTCTCTCTTTTCTTCCTTCTCTCTTTCCTTCTTTCCTTCCCTCCCTTTCTCTACCTTCCTTCCGTCACTCCCTCTTTCCTTCCTTCCTTCCTTCCTTCCTTCCTTCCTTCCTTCCACCTTCCTTCTCTTTCCTTCTCATTCTTCCTTCCTTCTCTATCTCTTCCTTCTTCCCCCTTTTTCTCTTTGTTGTCTTCTTTCTTCTTCCCTTTCTTTTCCTTCCCTCCCTCTTTCTCTACATCTTCCCCCCTTCCTTCGCTCCCTCTTTCCTTCCTTCTTTCCCTCTTTTCTTTCCTTCTCTCTCATTCCTTCCACTAACTTTCCTTCCTTCCTTCACTCCCTCTTTCCTTCCTTCCTTCCTTCCTTCCTTCCTTCCTTCCTTCCTTCCTCTTTCCTTCTCTTCCTTCCTTCCTTCTCTATCTCTTTCCTCCCTTTTTCTTTCTCTTCTGCTGTCTCTCTTTTCTTCCTTCTCTCTTTCCTTCTTTCCTTCCCTCCCTCTTTCTCTACATCTCCCCCCTTCCTTCACTCCCTCTTTCCTTCCTTCCTGTCTTTCCTTCTCTTCTTCCTTCCTTCTCTATCTCTTTCCTTCCTTCCCCCTTTTTCTTTCTCTTCTGCTGTCTCTCTTTTCTTCCTTCTCTCTTTCCTTCTTTCCTTCCCTCCCTCTTTCTCTACATCTTCCCCCCTTCCTTCGCTCCCTCTTTCCTTCCTTCTTTCCCTTTTTTCTTTCCTTCTCTCCTTCCTTCTCTAACTTTCCTTCCTTCCCCCTTTTTCTTTCCCTCCCTCTTTCTCTCCTTCCTTCCGTCACTCCCTCTTTCCTTCCTTCCTTCCTTCCTTCCTTCCTTCCTTCCTTCCTTCCTTCCTTCCCATCTTTCCTTCTCTTCTTCCTTCCTTCTCTATCTCTTTCCTTCCCCTTTTTCTTTCTCTTCTGCTGTCTTTCTTTTCTTCCTTCTCTCTTTCCTTCTTTCCTTCCCTCCCTCTTTCTCTACATCTTCCCCCTTCCTTCGCTCCCTCTTTCCTTCCTTCTTTCCCTTTTTTCTTTCCTTCTCTCCTTCCTTCCTTCTCTAACTTTCCTTCCTTCCCCTTTTTCTTTCCCTCCCTCTTTCTCTCCTTTCTTCCTTCTCTACCTCTTCCTTCCTTCCTTCCTTCCTTCCCATCTTTCCTTCTCTTCTTCCTTCCTTCTCTCTTTCCTTCCCCTTTTTCTTTCTCTTCTGCTCTCTTTTCTTCCTTCTCTCTTTCCTTCTTTCCTTTGCACCTCTTTCGCTACATCTTCCCCCTTCCTTTGCTCCCTCTTTCCTTCCTTCTTTCTCTTTTTCTTTCCTTCTCTCCTTCCTTCCTTCCCCCTTTTTCTTTCCCTCCCTCTTTCTCTCCTTTCTTCCTTCTCTACCTCTTTCCTTCCTTCCTTCTCTCTTTGCTTCCATGCTTCCTTCTCCCTTTCCCTTCTCCCTTTCTTTTCTTTTCTTCCTTTCTTTTTTCCCTCCCCTTCCCTCCCTCTTTCTTCCTTTTTTCTGTAGCTTTTCATCATTTAGCTTTTTAGGGATTTTTAAATCCCTTCTGCTGTGTTTTTCAGTGTTTTTATGAGGGAAGGACAGGCATTGGACTGTTAGGTGTCTTGTGTCCAAATTTGGTGTCAATTCCCCCAGTGGTTTTTGAGTTCTGTGAATACCACAAACAAACATGACATTTTTTATTTATATAGATTGACATATTGTTTCAGCACTCATATTTACTTGTCTTCGGTTGCCTTAGGTATTCAGTTTCCCTTGGGGGGGGAAAAGATAGATGCCAAAGCTTCGAAATATGAATCTCACAGCTTCCATCACATAATGATTTTTCATTATGTTATTTTGTACTGCTTATTTTACTTGATTGGTTTATTTATTTTATTGTGGTGTTATTTTGTTGTTTATATTTTATGTTGCTGTAATGCATCGCTGGGCTTGGCCTCATGTAAGCCGCTCCGAGTTCCCTTTGGGGAGATGGTGGCCGGGTATTATTATTATTATTATTATTATTATTATTATTATTATTATTATTATTATATTTCATCATGGCATTCGCAGGTTGTAAGCCATCTTTCTTTATTCAAATGTACCATAGGAATCTATATGAAATATAATACAACTGTGAAACTAGCAAGATATGTGTGTTATAATAAATTATGCTGCAGCTACAACATGGAGCAGACATTTAGTACAGTAATAGGAAACTGGTGTGGTGTTGAGATTGGAGGCTCTGACCAGGATTTAGGAGACCGAGGCCGCTTCTACACTGGCATTTAAAATCCAGATTATCCGCAACATTGATTGATTGGCAGTATTGATATTTCACCCTTCTCACCCTTCTCACAGGGGACTCAGGGCGGATTACAATGCACATCTACATGGCAAACATTCAATGCCATTTAGACATACACAAACATAGAGGCAATTTCACATTCCAGTTTCGTGAGGGTATGCTCGAATTCCGACCACAGAGGGAGCTGTCACTTTGCCATCCACTTGTGACACCGTCCTTGACAGAGTACTTCCTCATTCTTCTGCACATTGCTAGGTTTTTATGGTGTGGTAAATTAGTTTAAATAGCCTCCCCGCATAAAGCGGTACCTAAATTTCCTACAGCAAGCTAGACTATTAATGGTCGGGAGCTCACTCCAACCCGGACTGGCTTCAACCTCTCGGTCAGTAATGATTTAATGCAGGTGGCTACTATCTAGCTGAGCCACGGCCCAGTGGCAGTGTAGACTCATGTAATCCAATTCAAAGGTTTTTATGGTGTCATGAATTAGTTAAATTAGCCTCCCTGCATGAAGCGGTATCTAAATGTCTTACTTGATGGATGCAACTGTCTTTTGGGCTGCATAGGTCAACAGCAAGCTAGACTATTAATGGTCAGGAGCCCCAGTCATCTCAGATTTGAACTTTCTCTGGGGCTACACATCATGTTTGCAGTAAAAACTGTGGATGGGGGTAATCAGTGTTGGAAAATAGGCAAGCGTTTACATTCAAGCAAATGACATCCAATGATGATTGTTCTCCCTCTCACTTTCAGCTGCGACCTGGACTACGACATCTACAAAGACGATTTGCCATACAGGTAGGCGTGGTTTCCCTCCTTCGGAAGGTGTACCCTCACGTCCTGCCCACGTGAGTGAATCCTCGTGTGGAAATGAGCCCTTCTCCTGCTCTCCTTTCCTGCAGAGTTTGTGAATACCAAAAGATCCCTCCGCTCATCACTCGCATCCCTGACAAAACCAGGCGAGGCCACCTGGGGAATGGGGCCAAGACCGGCCTGGCCACACACACGGGGTCCAGAGGAAGCGGTTCCACAGCAGGACACACAAAACGTGAGTGTTTTGGGGCGGAGGCCTCAAGAGATTTTGGTATCACGGGCCACTTCCAGCATTCAGCGTCAACATGCTTTCTGACTTTATTATAACGCTAGCTTGGGGACCCGGCGGCGCTCAGGTGATTTCAGAAAGGTATTGGTTGCCTGTGCTTCATGTTTAGTCTAGATACAATTTCAGCTGGGTTCAGTGGGTGCGGGTAAACTACAACTCCCATTGTCCATGGTCCATTCTCCTCCAAGCCACACCAGGACGGAAAGTGGGTCGTGGGGGCTCTGTGTGCCAAATTTTGTCCTGATCTGTCATTGGTTTGGGTTGCAGTGGTCTCAGGAAGTGAGTGAAGGTACTGCAAGTCCCATCATCCATGGTTCATCCTTCTCCAAAGCACACCAGGATGTAGAATGGGTCATGGGGCCTTTGTGTGTCAAGTTTGGTCCTGATCCGTCATTGGTGGGGGTAGTCGTGGTCTTTGGGAGCCAAAGTGACGGAATGGACTGCAGATCCCATCATCCATGCTCCGTCCTCCCTCAAACTGCACCAGGATGTAAAGTGGGTCATGGGGGCTCTGTGTGTCAAATTTGGTCTTTATTGGCAATTGGATGAGAGTCGCACTGGTCTCAGGAAGTGAGTGAAGCTACTGCAAGTCCCATCATCCATGGTCCATCCTTTTCCAAAGCACACCAGGATGTAGAGTGGGTCATGGGGCCTCTGTGTGTCAAGTTTGGTACTAATCCGTCTTTGGTGGGAGTTGTCGTGGGCTTTGGGAGCCAAAGCGATGGAAAGTACTGCAAATCCCATCATCCGTGGTCCATCCTCTCCCAAACTGCACCAGGACGTAAAGTGGGTCATGGTGGTTCTGTGTGCCAGGTTTGGTTCAATTCTGTTATTCATGGGAGTTGCAGTTGCCTGTTGAAAGTGGCAGCCAATCAGAACGCTGCCACATACATACAAACACTGACTTTTATTATATACAAGGGTTGAATGAAAAGTAATGCCTCCACCTTTGTTACTTGGGTTTGGATGGGAATATTTTAATAAATCAAACACAGAAATGATCCTTAGAATGTGCTCTTTAACTACCACTATTCACCTTTCCACATAATCACCAGACAATTTGATACTTTTTTGCCAACAATGAACACGTTTTCTGAAGCCATCATGGAAGAAGTCAACACTCCGCAACCCATCGTGCACAGATCTTCCGATAGCCAAGCAAAGCAATAATGTGACCCACATGTTCTTGTGAAATGCTGATTATGCTTGAAATTTCTCTCTGAGTGAGACGATTGTCCTGAAACTCGGTGGTTGGTGTCACAGGACGTCCAACCCTTTGTTTGTCATGCAAGTCAGATGTTCCCACCTCAACACCTTTAAACTTACTTGTCCAAAGACACATAGTACTCGCATCAACACAATCACCACAAACAGCTTGCATTCTCTCCAAAGGATGAATCTCCTTTGGGGTGACACCTTCTGCTGTCAAGAATTCAATGACTCCACATTGCTTAAGTCACATTGACCGACCGTCTGCGCAGGGTTCATTACTTTTCATTCAACCCTTGTAACTCTCAAAGATTGCAAACATTTAACTCTCAGACTAGAGATCATACGAAGGTTGATCTGGCCACAGTGGTTCACGCTCTCGTTACATCCCGAATAGATTACTGCAACGCACTCTACGTGGGGTTGCCTTTGAAGACTGTTTGGAAACTCCAACTAGTCCAGCAGACAGTGTCTAGATTACTTACCGGAGTGTCATACAAGGAACATACCACCCCCCTGTTGTGTCAACTCCACTGGCTGCCGATCCAGTTCCGAGCACAATTCAAAGTGCTGGTTTTGACCTACAAAACTCTATATCAGTGTTTCTCAACCTGGGGGTCGGGACCCCTGGGGGGGTCGCGAGGGGGTGTCAGAGGGGTCGCCAAAGACCATCTGAAAACACAGTATTGTTTGCTGGTCATTGGGGTTCTGTGTGGGAATTTTGGCCCAAGTCTATCATTGGTGGGGTTCAAGGGGCTCTTTGATAGTAGGTGAACTATAAATCCCAGCAACTACAACTCCCAAATGTCAAGGTCTATTTCCCCCAAACTCCACCAGCGTTCACATTTGGCCATATTGAGTATTGAGTATTCATGCCACATTTGGCCTAGATCCATCATTCTTTGAGTTCACAGTGCTGTCTGGATGTAGGTGAACTACAACTCGAAAATTCAAGGTCAATGCCCACCATACCCTTCTAGTATTTTCTGATGGTCATGGGAGTTCTGTGTGCCAAGTTTGGTTCAATTCCATTTTTGGTGGAGTTCAGAATGCTCTTTGATTGTAGATGAACTATGAATCCCAGCAACTACAACTCCCAAATGACAACTCTCCCCCAAGCCCACCAATATTCAAATTGGGGCATATTGGGTATTTGTACCAAATTTGGTCCAGTGAATGAAAACACATCCTGCATATATGATATTTACATTACGATTCATAACAATAGCAAAATTACTGTTATGAAGTAGCAACAGAAATAATTCTATGTTTGGGGGTCACCACAACATGAGGGACTGTATGAAGGGGTCGCGGCATCAGGAAGGTTGAGAACCACTGCCCTATACGGTTCCGGCCCAGCGTACCTGTCCACCTCGGAGTTTAAGATCTCCCCTTTGGTTAGACCACACCTGGAATATTGTGTCCAATTCTGGGCACCACAATTCAAGAGAGATATTGACAAGCTGGAATATGTCCAGAGGAGGGCGACTAAACTGATCAAGGGTCTGGAGAACAAGTCCTATGAGGAGCGGCTTAAGGAGCTGGGCATGTTTAGCCTGTAGAAGAGAAGGCTGAGAGGAGATATGATAGCCATGTATAAATATGTGAGAGGAAGCCACAGGGAGGAGGGAGCAAGCTTGTTTTCTGCTTCCCTGGAGACTTAGACACGAAACAATGGCTTCAAACTACAAGAGAGGAGATTCCATCTGAACATGAGATGTTTTTGATACTGAAACTAGCTAGGTGCAAATTGACACTGTTCAGCGTGTGGAGGCTCCTTCTTTGGAAGCTTTTAAACAGAGGCTGGATGGCCATCTGTCAGGGGTGATCTGAATGCAATATTCCTGCTTCTTGGCAGGAGGTTGGGCTGGATGGCCCATGAGGTCTCTTCCAACTCTTTGATTCTATGATTCTATCCACATAGGTTGGCGGGGACGAGGAGCAGGGCCTTCTCGGTGGTGGCCCCTCACCTGTGGAACTCATCGACATCCCTCCCCTTCTTTAGAAGGAAATTAAAAACATGGATTTGGGACCAGGCCTTTGGGTAATATGGCGGATAGATAAGGCACAAGCGACGACTAGAATTGATGGATTGGACAATGTGGAATTTGAATTTACGGACTCTGAGCTGGTCAACGTTGAGCCCTAGATTGTTTTTAGGGATTGTGATGTATAATGGATTGTTTTAATTGTTTTAATTGCGGTTTATATGTTTTATTTTTTACCTTGTTGTTGTGCCGGCATCGAATTGTGCCTTTTTGTAAGCCGCCCTGAGTCCCCCCTCAGGGGTTGAGAAGGGCGGGGTAGAAGTGCGAGAAATAAATAAATGAATATTTGAATGAAACGTAATGCCTCCACCTTCCTAACAACTCAACAGACGGCAGTACTGGTATGCGGTAGGGACTGGCTGGGTGGAGGCATTACTTTTCATTCAACCCTCGTACATAGAGGTGACGTCTCTCTTGTCTTGTGTTTACAGTGGCAAAACTTCTAATGCTGTTTTGTTGAGCAGGTTATCCAATCACCATCTTTCCCTTCCAGTACGAGCAGAAGAGCTGCACTCCATCAAAGGGGAATTGAGCCAGATCAAGGTCCAGGTGGACAACCTGCTGGAGAGCCTGGATCGGATGGACCAGCGGCGAGACCACAGCGCGGGTGAGTGGGGGCACTTCTGGCTTCCAGGATCTGTTTACTGATACGAGCAGCCCATGAAACGTGGTATAGGGACCGGGACAATCTCACAATCCTCTCCTGCACAAATCACTCCTAGATCGTAGAATCATAGAATCAAAGAGTTGGAAGAGACCTCCTGGGCCACCCAGTCCAACCCCATTCTGCCAAGAAGCAGGAACATTGCATTCAAATCACCCCTGACAGATGGTCATCTGTTTAAAAGCCTCCAAAGAAGGAGCCTCCATCACACTCCGGGGCAGAGAGTTCCACTGATTAACAGCTGTCACAGCCATACTATCACAGAATCCTCATGGGCCATCCAGTCCAACCCCATTCTGCCAAAAAGCAGGAAAATCCATTCAAAGCACCCCCGACAGATGGCCATCCAGCCTCTGTTTCAAAGCTTCCAAAGAAGGAGCCTCCAACACACTCCAGGGCAGAGAGTTCCATTGCTGAACAGCTCTCACAGCCATGCTATCATAGAATCCTCCTGGGCCATCCAGTCCAACCCCATTCTGCCAAGAAGCAGGAATATTGCATTCAAAGCACCCCTGACAGATGGCCACCCAGGCTCTGTTTAAAAGCCTCCAAAGAAGGAGCCTCCACCACACTCCGGGCAGAGAGTTCCACTGCTGAACGGCTCTCATAGTCATACTGTAGCCCCCGGTGGCGCAGTGGGTTAAACCCCTGTGCCGGCAGGACTGAAGACTGACAGGTCGCAGGTTCGAATCCAGGAGAGGTGGATGAGCTCCCTCTCTCAGCTCCAGCTCCTCATGCTGGGGGACATGAGAGAAGCCTCCCACAAGGATGATAAAAACATCAAAAATCATCCGGGCGTCCCCTGGGCAACGTCCTTGCAGACGGCCAATTCTCTCACACCAGAAGCAACTTGCAGTTTCTCAAGTCGCTCCTGACACGACAAAAAAAATATAGTCATACTATCATAGAATCCTCCTGGGCCATCATCCAGCCCAACTCCATTCTGCCAAGAAGCAGGAATATTGCATTCAAATCACCCCTGACAGACGGCCATCCAGCCTCTGTTTCAAAGCCTCCAAAGAAGGAGCCTCCACCACACTCCGGGGCAGAGAGTTCCACTGCTGAATGGCTCTCACAGTCAGGAAGTTCTTCCTCAGGTTCAGATGGAGTCTCCTTTCTTGTAGTTTGAAGCCATTGTTACATTGCGTCCTAGTCTCCAGGGAAGCAGAAAGGAATCTTGCTCCCTCCTCCTCCCTGTGGCTTCCTCTCACATATTTATACATGGCTATCATCATATCTCCTCTCAGCCTTCTCTTCTTCAGGCTAAACATGCCCAGCTCTTTAAACCGCTCCTCATAGGGCTTGTTCCCCAGACCCTTGATCTGCTCCCTCTTCCCTAGGACTTCCCCTCACATACTTATACATGACCCTCACATGTCTCCTCTCTTCCTTCTCTTCTTTAGGCTAAACATGCCGAGCTCCTTAAGCCGCTCCTCATAGGGCTTGTTCTCCAGACCCTTGATCCGCTCCCTCCTCCCTATGACTTCCCCTCACATACTTATACTTGGCTCTCATCATATCTCCTCTCAGCCTTCTCTTCTTCGGGCTAAACATGCCCAGCTCCTTAAGCCGCTCCTCACAGGGCTTGTTCTCCAGACCCTTGATCCTTTGAGTCGCCCTCCCCTGGACACATTCCAGCTTGTCAACATATCTCAATTTTGTCAATATCATGACGACAGTTGAGGAATGACAGTTAAGACTTGAGTGGGTTAGAATGCCAAAGTAAGTGTTAAGAGGTTAGAAGACAGTTAAGCCTTGAGTCAGGTTGAGTATAAAAGTCTACTTCAATCTTTGTCTGCTGAGAGCGTTGAATTGAAACTAGAGATTTACAAGCCATTGCTCAATAAACTAAAGGAACCCCTCCTGCCACATTTGCCATCCTGGAAGCTTTACTAGCTTGGTAGAACCTGCCATAGTTTGCACTTTGCTGACACAACCTTTGAAGGCCTAGGACCGTGTTTCTCAACCTGGGGGTCGGGACCCCTGGGGGGGTCGCGAGGGGGTGTCAGAGGGGTCGCCAAAGACCATCAGTAAACACAGTATTGTTTGCTGGTCATTGGGGTTCTGTGTGGGAAGTTTGGCCCAGTTCTATCATTGGTGGGGTTCAAGGGGCTCTTTGGTTGTAGGTGAGCTATAAATCCCAGCAACTACAACTCCCAAATGTCAAGGTCTATTTCCTCCAAACTCCACCAGCGTTCACATTTGGCCATATTGAGTATTGAGTATTCATGCCAAGTTTGGTCCAGATCCATCATTCTTTGAGTGCTCTCTGGATGTAGGTGAACTACAACTCGAAAATTCAAGGTCAATGCCCACCATACCCTTCTAGTATTTTCTGATGGTCATGGGAGTTTTGTGTGCCAAGTTTGGTTCAATTCCAACGTTGGTGGGGTTCAGAATGCTCTTTGATTGTAGGTGAACTATGAATCCCAGCATGACAACTCTTCCCCCAAGCCCACCAATATTCAAATTGGGGCGTATTGGGTATTTGTACCAAATTTGGTCCAGTGAATGAAAACTCATCCTGCATATATGATATTTACATTACGATTCATAACAGGAGCAAAATTACTGTTATGAAGTAGCAACAAAAATAATTCTATGTTTGGGGGTCACCACAACATGAGGGACTGTATCAAGGGGTCACGGCATTGTGAAGGTTGAGAACCACTGGTCTAGGATGAGGCAGAAGAGGAAGAAGAGAAGTAAGGTGAACGGATCGCCGGACTCTCCTGACACGAGCTCTTCTCATTGGACAGGTTCCAAGGAAAGCAGTAAGAAATCCCGGGGGAGTGGAGAGGCTTCGTGCCACGCTCCGAACCCGGCCCAAAGGAAGGCCGGCTCCGAATACGAGGGTCCCGCTCCTCAGCAGGATGATGACAGCGCGGAAGAGAGCACGGACACCGAAGAGGCGGTAAGTAACTGACCAACTGACCGCCTCTCGGCCTATGAGCCCACGAGGACTTTGAGATCTTCCGGGGAGACCCTGCTCTCGATCCCGCCTGCATCGCAGGCACGGCTGGCGGGGACGAGAGATAGGGCCTTCTCGGTGGTGGCTCCTCAGCTGTGGAACACCCTTCCCGTGGACATCAGGCTAGCCCCCTCCCTGCTAATATTCCGCAGGAAGTTAAAGACCTGGCTATTTAAGAAGGCATTTGATCAAGAAGTGCAACGACTGGCAATTGACCATAGGAATGGAACAACGGAAATGATATCGGATTGTGGCTTGACGATGAGACGACTCGGAATGTAGTAGTAATTTTGTAGTAATGTTGTTTTGATAAGATGTTTTTTATGACTATGATGAATTGTAGACTGTTTTGCACTATGCTTTATAGATTGCACTTATTTTTTCATGTTGTACACCGCAATGAGTCGCCTTTGGGCTGAGAATTGCGGTATATAAGCGCAGTAAATAAATAAATAAGTAAGTAGCGAGACTCAAGTCCATCCACCAGAAGAAAAAGTGCAAAACGGAAAAATAACTGTAAACGTTACAGGGTATTATTATTATTATTATTATTATTATTATTATTATTATTATTATTATTATTTGGAAATTCAATAAACACCAGAGTGGATATCCCACAAGGAGTGTGGAGTGTGAATTTCACACCTGTCCTGCAAGGTTCCATTCTGCCCCCCATGCTTTTTAACATCTACATGAAACCGTTGGGAGAGGTCATCCGGAGTTTTGGAGTTGGGTGCCATCTCTACGCAGATGACACACAACTCTACTACTCATTTCCACCTAACTCCAAGGAAGCCCCTCGAGTGCTGGACGAGTGCATGACCGCTGTGTCTGTCTGGATGAGGAGGAACAAGCTGAGGATTAATCCCGACAAGACAGAGGTCCTCCTGGTCGATCGTAAGCAAATAGATAGGAGGCAGGAGATTAGTCAAAACAGGCAAACCGAACAGTGGCTTCGGCAGTCTGCCAGAACCCGACTGAAAAAGATAAAGGAATCTCAATTAAAGCGAAACCAATTTCTGAGTGCCGGGGATAGCTTAATGCGGGGATAAAAGTTCCAAGTGTGGGAAATATATTCAGATGAAGCATGGTTTAGAATCAAGCATCGTTTAGAATCAAGATATAAGGTGGCAACCTGTGTTGGACAGGGTTACACTCCCTCTGAAGCCACAGGTCTGCAGTTTGGGAGTCCTCCTGGACTCATCACTTACGTTTGAGGCTCAGGCGTCGGCGGTGGCCGGGAGGGCCTTTGCACAATTAAGACTCGTGCGCCAGCTGCGACCGTACCTCGGGAAGGCAGATCTGGCCAGGGTGGTCCATGCTTTAGTCACCTACAGATTGGACTACTGTCATGCACTCTACGTGGGGCTACCCTTGAAAACTGCCTGGAAATTCCAATTGGTACAACGGGCGGTGGCCAGGCTGTTAACGGATGCTCCTTACAGGGAGAAGTCATTCCTCCTGTTCAAGGAGCTCCATTGGCTGTTGTTCATTTTCCGGACCCAATTCAAGGTGCAGGTTCTTACCTACAAAGCCCTAAACAGTTTGGGACCCGCCTACCTGTGTGACCCCATTTCTGTATACGAACCCACACGATCTCTTCAATCATCTGGAGAGGCCCTGCTCATGCTCCCACCTCCATTGCAGGTGCAATTGGTGGGGACGAGGGAGAGGGGCTTCTCGGTGGTGGCCCCCCCGACTCTGGAACTCACTTCCCAGGGACATTAGACATGCTCCAACGTTGGCAGTCTTTAGGAGGAGCCTGAAAACATGGTTGTTCCAGTGTGCCTTCCCAGAATAATGAACTCTCAGCATTGTGCCCTCTAAATGCACTTTACACTGATTTGGGATTGTTTGTACGCTCTCACCAACGCCCCACATCTCCTATCTTGTTCATGCCTAGCATTATTTTTACCTTTAATTACATTTTGCTCAGTCATAGATTTTAAATGTGTGCTGCATTACTGTCATTGTTTATTGCTTTTTTGTTTATGAGTTTTATTTAATTGTTTATTGTTGTTGTTATTGCTTGTATTGATGTATTGTGGGCTCGGCCTCATGTAAGCCGCACCGAGTCCCTTGGTGAGATGGTAGCGGGGTACAAAGCAATAATAACAACAATACAAGCAATTAAAATAAAACATGGTCAATACAATAATGCAACATTAACAATAAGACCACACGATTAAAAACTATGGGAATAATAATAATAATAATAATAACAACAACAACACTTTGTTTGTACCCCGCTACCATCTCCCCAAGGGACTCGGTGCGGCTTACATGAGACCAAGCCCAAACACAACAATACAAGCAATAATAACAACAATACAAGCAATTAAAAACACATAGACAATAAAATATACAACATTATCAATAAGAAAACACACAATTAAAAACAGTGGGAAGGCCAAATGTAGAGTTAAAATTGAAAATAATGCTGGGACATGGATGAAAAGGTGATAGTGGTGTTTGTGGAAGGGCATTTAATTGTTTATTGTTGTTGTTATTGCTTGTATTGATGTATTGTGGGCTCGGCCTCATGTAAGCCGCACCGAGTCCTTGAACAGGAGGGTTGACCGCTCCCTGTAAGGAGCCCCTGTTAACAACCTGGCTGCCACCCGTTGGACCAGTTGGAATTTCTGAACCGTTTTCAAGGGCAGCCCCACGTAGAGTGCATTACAGTAATCCAGTCTAGAGGTGACTAAGGTGTGGACCACCCTGGCCAGATCTGCCTTCGTGAGGTACGGTCACAGTTGGCGCACGAGTCTTACTACGATTCATAACAGTATTATTATTATTATTATTATTTACTCCATTTGTATACCGCATTTATCAGCCTGGGACGGCGACTCAATGCGGCTTACAATAAAAATGGGCAACACTGACAGTAAATAAGACACACATACACAAACGACACACATATAGTCATCAACGCCTCAATTAGAATCAGATCCCGTTCTCACAATAATCAGTAGCAAGATTACAGTTATGAAGTAGTAACGAACATAATTTTCTGGTTGGGGGTCCCCACCACATGAGGAACTGTATTCAGGGGTCACGACATTAGGAAGGTTGAAAACCACTGCATTAAAGGAACAGGATCCCAGCACCTTAGTTCGACTGGCAACTCTGGCAGATAGTAAGCTACTCTTTGAGTAAAATTCAATAACAACAACATTGAACTGTGAGTGAATGCAGAGCATATGCAGAGTTCTGCCTCAAGCATATCAAGCATTTTATTTCATTGCAGGCAAGGAATCACATGCTGGACGCTGAAGGCAGCAACTGACCGGACCGGAAGGACTCTGCCCCCTTGCCTAGCCTTTCCTTCCCTGTGTGTTGTCTTTCTTCCAATGCCTCCAGCTGGTGCTAACGTGTGGCATCCGTTACCTGTAAATAGCGCAGGTGCAAAAGGTGTCCTCCGCTCTCTCGCGAGCCCCTTTATCAGGTCTCACCGAGAGAGAGAGAGAGAGAGAGAGAGAGACCTCGGTCATTCGTTGAGGGAGAAAACGCTTGGTGTTCTTTGTTGGTGAAAATGTTTTAAAATGGGGAACGGAGGAGCAACTTGTATTTGCAACTGAACCAGCACAACATTCAACAGAAATAAAGCAGTAGCACTCTCCGACAGTCATAACAAGTTGGTTTTGTTTTATTGGCAAGGCAGATTTTTGGTCTGGAGAGTTACAAACAGGAGGCTGGGTTGCATGATAATCGCATCATCACAAAAAATGGCTTTGAAATGTGTGCATTCACAATGCTTAGGCATAGCCTGCACCACAAACCAATGGGTTTTCTGCAACTGCTGTTACAAGGCTTTCTTTTTCAAAAGTTTAAAACTATAGCCAGAATGGGTTGTTGTAGGTTTTTTCGGGCTATATGGCCATGTTCTAGAGCAGCGTTTCTCAACCTGGGGGTCGGGAGGGGGTGTCAAAGGGGTCACGAAAGACCATTGGAAAACACAGTATTTTCTGTTGGGCATGGGAGCTCTGTGTGGGAAGTTTGGCCCAATTCTATCGTTGGTGGAGTTTGGTTGTAGGGGAACTATAAATCCCAGCAACTACAACTCCCAAATGTCTATTTTCTCCAAACTCCACCAGAGTTCACGTTTCAGCATATTGAGTATTTGTGCCAAGTTTGGTCCAGATCCATCATTGTTTAAGTCCACAGTGGTCTCTGCAAGTAGGTGAACTACAACTCCCAAACTCAAGGTCAAGGCCCACCAAACCCTCCCAGTATTTTCTGTTGATCATGGGAGTTCTGTGTGCCAACTTTGGCCGATTTCCATTGTTGGTGGAGTTCAGAATGCTCTTTGATTGTAGGTGAACTATAAATCCCAGCAACTACAGTGACAAAAATACCCCCCCCCCACCAGTATTCAAATTTGGACGTATCGGGTATTTGTGCCAAATTTGGTCCAGTGAATGGAAATACATCCTGCATATCAGATATTTACATTAGGATTCATAACAGGAGCAAAGTGACAGTTGTGAAGTAGCAATGAAAACAATGTTATGGTTGGGGGTCACCACAACATGAGGAACTGTATTAAGGGGTCACAGCATTAGGAAGGTTGAGAAACACTGTTCTAGAGGCATTATCTCCTGACGTTTCGCCTGCATCTATGGCAAGCATCCTCAGAGGTAGTGAGGTCTGTTGGAACTAGGAAAATTGGGTTTATATATCTGAGGAATGACCAGGGTGGGACAAAGAACTCTTGTCTGCTGGAGCTAGGGGTGAATGTTTCAGAATATAGCCAGAATTCTGTTAGTGACTCATTCTGGTGCAATCTCCTTCATAAAATATCTTTTTTGGACCATTGCAGTGCCTTTGCCCTGGGTGCCCAAGCACAAATCTATTCCAGGTGCGATTCTACAGAGACGTACTTGGTGCCATCCAGCTACTCTCGCACACCTAAGGAAAAAGTAGAAGTCACAAAACAGTTTTTTCCCCCCTGTTGTCCATTTGCAACCAGATCTATGTCTAGATGCAGGCTGCAAGGTAACAGCAGTCAGGAGGGAGAGATACATTTAGGAATTGGCTGTCTACTTTTGTAAATGTGGGGAAATGAGACATCTTTGTTCCCTGAACAGAAACTATGTGTTTTACTGGAAGATTTACACCAGAGTTTCTCAACCTGGGAGTTGGGACCCCGTGGGGGGTGGGGAGTGGTGGTGTTGCGAGGGTCAAAAGGGTCACCAAAGACCATCAGAAAACACAGTCTTTTCTGTTGGTCATGGGGGTTCTGTGTGGGAAGTTTGGCCCAATTCTATCATTGGTGGGGTTCAAGGGGCTCTTTGACTGTAGGTGAACTATAAATCCCAGCTCTTTGAAGGGTCTATTTTCCCCAAACTCCACCAGTGTTCACATTTGGGCATACGTATTTGTGCCAAGTTTGGTCCAGATCTATCATTGTTTGAGTCCACGGTGCTCTCTAGGTATAGGTGAACTACAACTCCCAAACTCAAGGTCAATGCCCATTAAACCCTTCTGGTATTTTCTGTTGGTCATGGGAGTTCTGTCTGTCAAGTTTGGTTCAATTCCATCGTTGGCAGAGTTAATAATACTCTTTGATGGTAGGTGAACTATAAATCCCAGCAACTACAACTCCCAAATGTCAAGGTTTGCCAGGTTTGGTTCAATTCCATTATTGTTGGAGTTCAGACTGCTCTTTGATTGTAGGTGAGCTATAAGTACCAGCAACTACAACTCCCAAATGTCAAGGTCTAGTTTCCCCAGCTTATAAATCACTAAGTTGTATGTGCCTGTAAGAGATGAGAGACCACAAAGAACCCATTTTAGCAAAAAAAAAAAAAAAAGAAGAAGAAGCCGATTGATTAGGAATTTGGTCCATATCAGGATCCAATATATAATTAATAGGGGCTTCTGGGAAAAACTTGTCAGACTACTTATTCAAAAACTCCCATTCTGTTGAGCACAATATGGCCAAAGAATACCAAAAAGAACCAAGTAACAAGAAGCTCTGGGCCAGGTCAATATTCAATTCTCTGATGGTGTCTTAATTTGAAGATTCTTAATTTGAAGGTGATGGGGGAGGGCATCATCTCCTTCAGAAAAGATCTCTCCCCAAACCAAATGGCAGCAGTTATAAAAAATAAATAAAGCAGTGAATCAAAATAATAACAAACTAATACAGCTATCAGCACATAGAAACCTGAAACGAAGCTGTTCAAGGAGCTCCACTGGCTGCCGTTCATTTTCCGGTCCCAATTCAAGGTGCAGGTTCTTACCTACAAAGCCCTACACGGTTTGGGACCCGCCTACCTGCGTGACCGCATCTCTGTGTACGAACCCACACTATCTCTTTGTTCATCTGGAGAGGCCCTGCTCGCGTTCCCACCTCCATTGCAAGTACGATTGGTGGGGACGAGGGACAGGGCCCTCTCGGTGGTGGCCCCTCGACTCTGGAACTCGCTCCCCAAGGACATTAGGTATGCCCCAACTCTGGCAGTGTTCAAGAGGAGCCTGAAAACGTGGTTGTTCCAGTGTGCCTTCCCAGAATAAGGAAATCCTAAGCAACATGTCCCTAATTGCACTTTACTAATGATCTAGGATTGTCTGCTCGCTCCATCTCTCTCCAAATACCCATCCTAGTTATTTGTCACCTGGTCATGCCCAGCATTTTTAAAATGTTAACTATTACAACTGGCCCTGCCATAGGTTTTTAATGCGTCGTGGTGTTATTGTTACGGTTTATTGCTTTGTTTATGAGTTTATTTTATTGTCTGTATTGCTGTTGTTGCTTTTTTAGTGATGTATTTGGGCTCGGCCTCTTGTAAGCTGCACCGAGTCCTTCGGGAGATGGTAGCGGGGTACAAATAAAGGATTATTATTATTATTATTATTATTATTATTACGAAGCTGAATATTGCAGCCATAGGGGCTTCTGGGAAAAACTTGTCAGACCACTTATTGAAAAACTCCCATTCTGTTGAGCACAATATGGCCAAAGAATACCAAAAAGAACCAAGTAACAAGAACCTCCGGGCCAGGTCAATATTCAATTCTCTGATGGTGTCTTAATTTGAAGATTCTTAATTTGAAGGTGATGGGGGAGGGCATCATCTCCTTCAGGAAGGATCTCTCCCCAGATCCAATGGCAGCAGTTATGTATAAAAAAAATAAAGCAGTGAACCAAAATAATAACAAACTTTTATTTTCTTGCAACCTAGTTTAAAAATAACTATTTGTAACAAAATATCTCAAGATATTCACAACAGAATGCCAACTGTCTGAAGTGTGTGTGTGTGTGTGTGGGGGGGGGGGGGTCATCAGGTCTTCCAAGCTCAGCCTTCTCTGGGTTGTGTTGTAATTCTCACCAGTCCCAGTGTCAGCAGAGCCAAAGGTGAGCAACAGCAGAGTTCTTTCTTTTTCCAGCATCTTTGAGGATTCCCAAGTTGGAGAGGGGAATCGAGACATCCACAGAAGCAAAACACAAGGTTGTGCTATCCACCTCTTTCACAGAAAGCAGGTTGCCAGTGTTCCTGGTTTGGTTGGTTGGTTGTTTTTTGCTTGTGAAAAGCTGTCATGGTTGGAAAGTATTTGCCTTTCAGAAATATCCCAAGCTGGAGAAGATGATTGACACAGCTACAGAAGCAAAACACAAGGCTGTGCTATTGGTCAGCTCTTTCACAGAAAGCAGTCTGCAGTCTTCTTGGGTTGGTGGGTTGTTATTTGCTTGCCAAAGGCTGTCTTGGTTGGAAACATCCAGCTCAAACTCGACGTCTTCCCCACTTGAGGCCAAAAGTCTATCCAATGCAATGAGGGCAAGTCCTTGCGTGAAAGGCAGTTCCACTCAGTAGGAAAGGATGCTTGGCCTGGCCTTTCACAGATTGTAGTCCTAGTGCAGAGCTGGCATCTGAAGCCAGGATGTTCACCCAACAATGATAGAACAGTTGCATCCACACAATGTTGCATGCTGGCAAGGAACAGGCAGTAACGAGGCTTGGCTGAAGCGCTGGGGGGTGACCCACGTTCCATCTCTTGCTCATCCACCTTTGAGAAGCATCCAGCTTAAGCAAGGGACCTTAATCGCACAAAACAGCAAAAAAAATATTATGGCACCAATGAAGAAACCTGAAAGCACCATACGCTCAGTGGGAAATGATCACGGGTCTGGAGAACAAGCCCTATGAGGAGTGGCTTAAGGAGCTGGGCATGTTTAGCCTGAAGAAGAGAAGGCTGAGAGGAGGTATGATGAAGGCCATTTATAAATATGTGAGAGGAAGCCACAGGGAGGAGGAGGGAGCAAGCTTCCTTTCTGCTTCCATGGAGACTAGGACTCGGTGAAATGCAATGGCTTCAAACTACAAGAGAGGAGATTCCATCTGAACACGAGGAAGAACTTCCTGACTGTAAGAGCCGTTCAGCAGTGGAACTCTCTGCCCCGGAGTGTGGTGGAGGCTCCTTCTTTGGAGGCTTTTAAGCAGAGGCTGGATGGCCATCTGTCAGGGGTGATTTGAATGCAATACTTCTGCTTCTTGGCAGAATGGGGTTGGACTGGATGAAAGCCCAGGAGGTCTCTTCCAACTCTTTGATTCTATGAAAGGATGTCCAGCCTGGTTTTTTCCTTGGTGGGATGCTCTAGGACAGGTTTGGGCCAACTTGGGTCCCCTGGGTGTTTTGGACTTCAACTCCCATCATTCCTAACAGCCTCAGGCCCCTTCCTTTCCCCCCTCAGCCACTTAAGCCCAAATCTGATCTAAAGCACTGTCCGTTATAAAGGCCAGAACCCAGTGCTCCTCCTCCTACTTCTTGGGCTCCTCTCTCACAAATACACTATTTTCTATTCCTACCTCACCCAGGGTTTTAACTTTTTAACATTTTACCTCATACATCTGGCCCGCCCTTTGTGTTTGATTATACTATGCTATTTTATACTGTTAGTTGTCCCAATTCCCTTTGGTGGAGATGGTGGAGGGTTATAAATAAAAATTATTATTATTATTATTATTATCATCATCATCATCATTATCATCTTGGGTGCATGAGGCAAACAGCCAGAGTAACTCAGCCCCCTTCCCCACAGTCCCTAATGCCAGATTATATGTTTGCCCCAGATTAAGTGGCTGAGGGGGGAAAGGAAGGGGCCTGAAGCTGTTGGGAATGGTGGGAGTTGGAGTCCAAAGCACCCAAAGGGCCCGAGTTGGCCCATACCTGATTTAGAGGCAGAATCCTGGCAATTGGGAGCATGAGGCAAATAGAGTAACTCAGGCCCCTTCCCCACAGTCTCTAATCCTAGATTATATGTTAATTCCAGATTAAGTGGCTAAGGAGGGAAAGGAAAGGTCCTTTTGAGGCTATTGGGAATGGTGGGAGTTGAAGTCCAAAACACCCAGAGGGTGCGAGTTGGCCCAAACCTGATCTAGAGGTGGAATCCTTGCAATTAGGTGCATGAAGCAAATAGGCAGAGTAAATTAGGCCCCTTCCCCACAGATTAAATGTTTACCCCAGATTAAGCGTCTGAGGGGGGAAAGGAAAGGGATTTTGAGGCTGTTAGGGATGGTGGGAGTTGAAGTCCAAAGCATCCAGAGGGAGGGCCCGAGTTGGCCCATACCCGAGAGAGACGGAGGCACAATTGTTGGCAGGATTCTCTTCCTCCTGCTCCATCTCTGATTGGATGCATGCTCAAAAAGCCAGAATAACTCAGGCCCTTCTACACAGTCCCTATATCTCAGGATCAGATCCCAGATTATATGTTTACCTCAGATTGAGTGGCTGAGGGGGGAAGGGAAAGGGCCTGAGGCTGTTGGGGATTGTGGGAGTTGAACTCCCAAAACACCTAGAGGGAGGGCCAGAGTCGGCCCAAACCTGATCTAGAGGCAGAATGCTGGCAATTGGATGCATGAGGCAAATAGACAGAGTAACTCAGGCCTTTTCCCCACAGGATATGTTTACCCCAGATTAAGGGGGGCGGGGGGAGGAATGGGCCTGAGGCTGTTGGGAATGGTGGGAGTTGGAGCCAAAGCACACAGAGGGTCAGGGTTTGCCCAAACCTGATCTAAAGGCAGAATCCTGGCAATTGGGCGCATGAGGCAAAGAGCCAGAGTAACTCAAGACTCTTCCCCACTGCCTCTAATCCCAGATTATATGTTTACCTCAGATCCTGACAATTGGATGCATGACACAAAGAGCTAGGGTAACCCAGGCCTTTCCCCCACAGGTTATGTTTACCTCAGATTGAGTGGCTTGGGGGGAGGGGGGATGGACCTGAGGCTGTTGGGAATGGTGGGAGCTGAAGTCCAAAGCACACAGAGGGCCAGGGTTTGCCCAAACCTGATCTAGAGGCAGAATGCTGGCAATTGGATGCATGAGGCAAATAGCCAGAGTAACCCAGGCCTTTCCCCCACAGGTGATGTTTACCTCAGATTAAGTGGCTGGAGGGGGGGGGGGATGGTGGGAGTTGGAGTCCAAAACACCTGGAGGGAAGGCCAAAGTTTGGCCAAACCTGATCTAGAGGCAGAATGGGCCTGAGGCTGTTGGGGATTGTGGGAGTTGGAGTCCAAAACACCTGGAAGGAAGGCCAAAGTTGGCCCAAACCTGATCTAGAGGCAGAACGCTGGCAATTGGTATCATGAGGCAAAGAGCCAGAGTAACCCAGGCCCCTTCCCCACTGATTGTATGTTTACCCCAGATTGAGTGGCTGAGGGGGGAAGGGAAAGGACCTGAGGCTATTAGGGATGGTGGGAGTTGGAGTCCAAAATACCTGGAGGGAAGGCCAGAGTTGGCCCAAACCTGATTTAGAGGCAGAATCCTGGGAATAGGCTGGCAGAGCAACTCAGGCCCCTTTCCCCCAGTCTCTAATCCCAGATGAAGTGGGAAGGGCCTGTGAGGGAAGGAGGGGGGCCCATACCGGAGTGGGTCTGTGCCTCAGGTGTGGCTGTGGGGCGCCCCTTCTTCCTCTTCCTCCTTGGGGGTCTTGGGGGTGGGGTGGCCCTTGTCGTGGAGGGCGCGGAGGAGGCTCTTCCTGAGGAGCGGGTAGAGGCGGTGGCAGCCGTCGAGTCCGAGGCGCAGGGCCCGTGCCCAGCTGTCCGGGGGCCCCCCTTCCCCGCTGCCCAGGAGGCCGGCCACTTGGTTGAGGGAGGGCAGGAGGGCGACGGTGAGGTGGGCGCGGGCGCGGCGGGTCTCGGCCTCGTCGGGCTGGAGCAGCCACTCTCCCGCTGTTCCTGGGGCGAGGGCGAGGGCGCAGGCGGCGGGCAGGTCGAAGAGCTCGACGCCGGCGTGGGCCAGGGCGAGGCCGGAGGCGCAGAGGGCGGCGGCCAGCACGGAGCCCCCGTCCTGCAGCACCAGGGCGCTGACCTCCAGCTGGGCGCGCGGGTAGCGGGAGAGGCGGGCGGCGGCCGAGAGGGACTCCTGCAAAGCCTGCGCCAGGCACGGGTCGCGCTCACACGACCACCGCCTCCGGGCCCCGCGGGACGAGAAGGGCGCGCGACGGAACTCGCACACCAGCCGGCCCCCGCACTCGCCCCCCGCTGCTCCTCCTCCTCCTCCTCCGGGGGCCTCGCGGGGCCCGTACACGCCGCAAAGCACCTTGGTCCCGCCCGAGAGCTCCACGAAGGCCGAGCCCTTGGCCTGGCTCAGCACCGCCGCCCGCGCGAACACCGCCTGCAGCGCCGAAGGGTCCCGCCCCGGCTTTTCCGGCTTCTCCTCCTCCTCCTCCTGCCCGGCCACGAAGAGCAGCGGAGATTGAGACTCCTCCGGGCCCGGAACGCGCCGGTGGTCCAGCGGCATGGCAACTCTCCCCTCACAGGCGCCTCCTCACAACAGGAAGCGGAAGAGGAAGCGGAGCACGCTGCGCCTGCGCAATCGCTCCCTCTCTCGCGCGCGCACCCCCTGCTGGCCGGGAGGAGGAGGAACAGGCTGCTCCTCCCTCAGTCGCCTCACAAGGGGAAGCGGAAGAGGCGCACTCTGCGCCTGCGCAATCGCTCGCTCTCGCACCCCCTGCTGGCCTGGAGGAGGAAGAACAGGCTTGATCTCTGCTCAGAAGAAACCCATTCTCACAAAGGGAAGCTGCGCCCACTACGCCTGCGCAAACTGCCGCTCCCTCACACACGCGCGCCCCCTGCTGGCCTGGAGGAAGAGAAGGAGGAGGCTGCTCCTCTCTCACACTCGCCTCATAAGGGGAAGCTGAAGAGGCGCCCACTGCGCCTGCGCAATCGCTCCCCCTCTCCCGCGCGCGCGCTCCCCCTGCTGGCCGGGAGGAGGAAGAACAGGCTACTCCTCTTTCTTGAGCTCTGCTCAGAAGAAACCCATTCCCACAAGAGGAATCGGCGCCCACTGCGCCTGCGCAATCGCTCGCTCTCTCTCTCTCTCTCGCGCGCGCGCGCCCCCTGCTAGCCTGGAGGAGGAGGAACAGGCTGCTCCTCCCTCACAGTCGCCTCACAAGGGGAAGCGGAAGAGGCGCACACAGCGCCGACGCAATCGCTCTCTCTCTCTCTCGCCTCCTGGTGGCTTGGAGGAGGAGGAGCAGGCTGCACCTCTATTGATCTCTGGTCAGAAGAAACCCATTCTCACAAGAGGAAGCGGCGCCCACTGCGCCAGCGCAATCGCTCCCTCTCCGTCTCTCGCGCGCGCCCCCTGCTGGTCTGGAGGAGGAGGAGGAACAAGGTGCTCCTCCGTCACAGTCGCCTCACAAAGGAAAACGGAAGAGGCGCACACAGCGCCTGCGCAATCGCTCTCTCTCTCGCCCCCTGCTGGCCTGGAGGGGGAGGAGGAGAAGGAGCAGGCTGCTCCTCTTTCTTGATCTCTGGTCAGAAGCCCATTCTCACAAGGGGAAGCGGCGCCCACTGCGCCTGCGCCCTCGCTCCCTATCTCTCTGTCTGGCGCCCCCTGCTGGCCTGGAGGGGGAGGAGCAGGCTGCACCTCTATTGATCTCTGGTCAGAAGAAACCCATTCTCACAAGGGGAAGCGGAAGAGGAAGCGGCGCACAGTGCGCCTGCGCAATCGCTCGCTCGCTTTCTCTCGCGCGCCCCCTGCTGGCCTGGAGGAGGAGGGGCATGCTGCTCCTCTTTATGGATCTCGGGTCAGAAGAAACCCATTCTCACAACGGGAAGCGGAAGAGGAAGCGGCGCCCACTGCACCTGCGCAACCGCTCCCTCTCTCGCTCTCTCTCGCGCGCCCCCCCTGCTGGCCTGGAGGAGGAGGAGGAGCAGGCTGCTCCTCTTTATTGATCTCTTTGTCAGAAGCCCATTGAGAATAGACATACAATTAATAGAATCCTAGAGTTGGAAGAGACCTCTGGGCCATCCAGTCCAACCCCATTCTGCCAAGAAGCAGGAATATTGCATTCAAATCACCCCTGACAGATGGCCATCCAGCCTCTGTTTAAAAGCTTCCAAAGAAGGAGCCTCCACCACACTCCGGGGCAGAGAGTTCCACTGCTGAACGGCTCTCACAGTCAGGAAGTTCTTCCTCATGTTCAGATGGAATCTCCTTTCTTGTAGTTGAAAGCCATGGCTCCATTGCATTCCTAGTCTCTAAGGAAGCAGAAAACAAGCTTGCTCCCTCCTCCCTGTGGCTTCCTCTCACATATTTATACATGGCTATCATATCTCCTCTCAGCCTTCTCTTCTTCAGGCTAAACATGCCCAGCTCCTTAAGCCGCTCCTCATAGGGCTTGTTCTCCAGACCCTTGATCATTTGAGTCGCCCTCCTCTGGACACATTCCAGCTTGTCAACATCTCTCTTGAATTGTGGTGCCCAGAATTGGACACAATATTCCAGGTAAAGTGGTCTACAAGGCGGAATAGAGCATGGGAGCATGACTTCCCTAGATCTAGACACTAGGAGAGAGAGTGAGTTCAAGGAGTGGTAGCAACCAATAGTGAAAGGACCAAGGCAGTGACATCTCCAGCCCACCTCCTGTTTGAGTATCAGTCAGCATGACAACGACTTAAAGCAAGAAATAGTTTTCTAATATCTATAGAGACACTCGCTGGAACACCTCAGCAAACGAGACCCCAAAAGTGGCAGGCTCAAACCCTCATAGTTTAAGAGGCCCTGCTCTCGGTCCCACCAACGTCACAAACAAAGCTGGTGGGGACGAGGGACAGGGCCTTATTGGTAGTGACCCCCACCTGTGGAATTCACTCCCCAGCAAAATTAGATCACTGAAGGCATCTGCCCTTGCGCTATGCTCCTCTGCTGCTGAGTATGCATGCCCAGTGTGGAACACATCTCACCACGCTAAAACAGTGGATGTGGGTCTTAATGAGACATGCCGCATTATCACGGGGTGTCTGTGCCCTACACCACTGGAGAAATTACACTGCTTAGCCGGTATTGCACCACCTGACATCTGCCGGGAAGTAGCAGCCAATAGTGAAAGGACCAAGGCAGAGACATCTGCAGCTCATCCCGTTTGGGTATCAGCCAGCACGTCAACGACTTAAATCAAGAAATAGCTTTCTAAGATAAACAGAGACACTCACTGGAACACCTCAGCAAGCGAGAGTCCAAAAGTGGCAGGCTCAAACCCAGAACCTCAACCAATGGCTGATAACAAATGAGAGACTTCCCCTGGGCACATTTGGCCCAGCCATAGTTTTTAAAGTGTGTTGTCCTATTTGATAATGCTTATTTTATTGTTTTGCTGTTTTAAATTGCTTGTATTGTTGTTGTTATTGCTTGTATTGTTGTATTTTGGGCTCGGCCTCATGTAAGCCGCACCGAGTCCCCTGGGGAGATGGTAGCGGGGTATAAATAAAGTGTTATTATTATTATATTATTATATGTTCTGGAGGCATTCTCTCCTGACGTTTCGCCTGCATCTAGGGCAAGCATCTTCAAAGGTTGTGAGAAGCCATTCTTAAGCACAATGTGCCATTGTTGACACATCAAGTGGCAATTAAAAATAGCAACACATACAAACTACTCTTCTTGGCTGTGCAGAAAGGAAAGGAAATGCGTTTGTAGGCCTGAGGTTGTAGGCTTGAGCATATCACACTACAGCATGGTTATATGTAATGTGCCCATGTGGCCGTTGCTTTTGTTTCTACAGCAAGACACTCACTTAAATAGACATTTGTTTATTCAGCATGGAACCTGGTGAAGCACAGCTCCTCGTGCCAGAACATGCCTGGCTTGGGCTTGGCTACAACAGAGGTTAATAATACTACGAATGAAGGAGGGGCTTTCACAGTTACAGAGATAAGGGATGAAATGACCGAAGTGCTGAGCCTTGGCCCCGCGCATGCAAAACGTCCCAAGCGCTTGAGCACGGACGGAGAATTCGTGGGCAATGTCTTATTGCAAACTGTACAAAGACATTCAAGTTTAGAGCGTCAGGAAGTATGTGACTTGTATGTGCAAGGAGATTATTACCACGTTTCGATTCAAACTTGTGCCGCCACGGCTCCCACGTTCTGTGCTCAGGGCGTTGCCTGGCAAGGCCGCCTGGCTTGGTTAGTCCCTGCACGGATGAGCTGAGAAGGACAACAATGTACGTAACGCTGTTTCCAGTTATCACTAAGCTGTTAACCTACTGGCAGAGCAGACAAGGGCTTCCTTGCCTGGATCCCTTCACTGAGGCGGGCGGGGGGGGGGGTGTGTCAGTTCTTCAGCTCGCCCAGTTTCAGCTTGGCAAAGTCCGCGGCCACCTCCAGGGCCTCCTTCAGGCAGTCGGTGTTCTTCCCGGTCGCCTGAGCCGAGAGGTCCTTCCCGCCCCCCTTGCCATCCATCAGGACCGACACCTGCTGCACCCATTCACTAGCTTTCAGGCCTTTGTTGACAACCTCCTGGGAAAGACAGGAAAACAGCAAGTTAGATGGGTTGCTGTAGGTTTTTTTCGGGCTATATGGCCGTGGTCTAGAGGCATTCTCTCCTGACGTTTCACCTTCATCTATGGCAAGCATCCTCAGACGTAGTGAGGTCGGTTGGAACTAGGAAAATGGGTTTATATATCTGTGGAATGACCAGGGTGGGACAAAGGACTCTTGTCTGCTGGAGCTAGGTGTGAATGTTTCAACTGACCACCTTGATTAGCATATAATGGCCTGACAGTGCCTGGAGCAAACTTTTGTTGAGAGGTGATTAGATGTCTGGATTGTTGTAGGTTTTTTCGGGCTATATGGCCATGTTCTAGAGGCATTCTCTCCTGACGTTTCGCCTGCATCTATGGCAAGCATCCTCAGAGGTAGTGAGGTCTGTTGGAACTAGGAATGGGTTTATATATCTGTGGAAAAACCAGGGTGGGACAAAGGACTCTTGTCTGCTGGAGCTAGGTGTGAATGTTTCAACTGACCACCTTGATTAGCATATAATGGCCTGACAGTGCCTGGAGCAATCTTTTGTTGAGAGGTGATTAGATGTCCTTGTTGTAGGTTTTTTCGGGCTATATGGCCATGGTCTAGAGGCATTCTCTCCTGACATTTCGCCTGCATCTATGGCAAGCATCCTCAGAGGTAGTGAGTCTGTTGGAACTAGGAAAAAGGGTTTATATATCTGTGGAATGACCAGGGTGGGACAAAGGACTCTTGTCTGCTGGAGCTAGGTGTGAATGTTTCAACTGACCACCTTGATTAGCATTTGATTGCCTGGCAGTGCCTGGAGAAATCTTTTGTTGAGAGGTGATTAGATGTATTGTCGAAGGCTTTCATGGCCGGAATCACTGGGTTGTTGTAGGTTTTTTCGGGCTATATGGCCATGTTCTAGAGGCATTCTCTCCTGACGTTTCACCTGCATCTATGGCAAGCATCCTCAGAGGCAGTGAGGTCTGTTGGAACTAGGAAAATGGGTTTATATATCTGTGGAATGACCAGGGTAGGACAAAGAACTCTTGTCTGCTGGAGCGTTTTTGGGGCTATATGGCCATGTTCTAAAGGCATTCTCTCCTGACGTTTCGCCTGCATCTATGGCAAGCATCCTCAGAGGTAGTGAGGTCTGTTGGAACTACGAAAAAGGGTTTATATATCTGTGGAATGACCAGGGTGGGACAAAGGACTCTTGTCTGCTGGAGCTAGGTGTGAATGTTTCAACTGACCACCTTGATTGCCATATAATGGCCTGACAGAGCCTGGAGCAAACTTTTGTTGAGAGGCTTTCATGGCCGAATCACTGGGTTGTTGTAGGTTTTCTTCGGGCTGTATGGCCATGGTTTAGAGGCATTTTCTCTTGACGTTTCACCTGCATCTATGGCAAGCATCCTCAGAGGCAGTGAGGTCTGTTGGAACTAGGAAAAAGGATTTATATTTCTGTGGAAAGACCTGGGTGGGACAAAGGACTCTTGTCTGCTGGAGCTAGGTGTGTTCGGGCTATATGGCCATGGTCTAAAGGCATTCTCTCCTGACGTTTCGCCTGCATCTATGGCAAGCATCCTCAGAGGTAGTGAGGTCTGTTGGAACTAGGAAAAAGGGTTTATATATCTGTGGAACGACCAGGGTGGGACAAAGGACTCTTGTCTGCTGGAGCTAGGTGTGAATGTTTCAACTGACCACCTTGATTAGCATATAATGGCCTGACAGTGCCTGGAGAAAACTTTTGTTTTGTCGAAGGCTTTCATGGCCAAGATCACTGGGTTGTTGTAGGTTTTTTTCGGGCTGTATGGCCATGGTCTAGAGGCATTCTCTCCTGACGTTTCGCCTGCATCTATGGCAAGCATCCTCAGAGGTAGTGAGGTCTGTTGGAACTAGGAAAAGGGTTTATATATCTGTGGAATGACCAGGGTGGGACAAAGGACTCTTGTCTGCTGGAGCGAGGTGTGAATGTTTCAACTGACCACTTTGACCAGCATGTTAGATGGCCCTCAAACAGCTCCAGAGCGAGACGCATGGGCAGCATTTCTAATAGGAACGAAAACCCAGAGTGGGGAGAGAATACGATGAGAGCAGGAGTCAGTACAGCCCCCTACCCAACAATTGCCTGCCCCTGTTTTCAAATGCTAAGACCACTTTTCCCAAAATGTTGAGCCTCGAAGGAGAGATCCACCTAGGACCCTACGATCATCCGGCGAGGCCCTGCTCGCTGTCCCCCCACCATCGCAATCGCAGTTGGTGGGGACAAGAGACAGGGCCACCTCTGTGGTGGCCCCTTGGCTGTGGAACTCTCTCCCAAGTGAAATTAGAGCTGCCCCATCTCTCCTGATACTGAAATCTCATCCCAAGAATCCTGGATTTACCTGCGGAACCTGGCATAAACAGGTGATTTTGCCAGCCTCGTTATCCACGGTGAAAAGCATGGCTGCCGTTTCAGGCGAATGTGTCTTCAAGAGCTTCAAGGATTCGTTCAAGGCCTGCAAGAGGGTATATGTGAGGTTCAGAAAAAGAGGCACAAGGCAGCGTCTTAGAGTCCAAACCAGACACTGAAGGGGCCAGACACCAGATTTCTCTCTTTTGCTCAGATACGTACGGTTTTCTGCCATAGATGCTTTTATGTCTCCTGTTGTCATTTGAAGAACAACCAATGCTTAGTATCACAGCACTGGAAGTTCCAGGTTCAATCCCTGGCAACGATCATTTTCCCATCACTTTCTCAAAGTGTACAAGACACCCTCAGCAAATAAAACAACTATGCTTCCACCTTTTTTTGGTGTCAGGAGCAACTTGAGAAACTGCAAGTCGCTTCTGGTGTGAGAGAATTGGCTGTCTGCAAGGACATTCCCCGGATGTGTTACCATTCTGTAGGAGACTTCTCATGTTCCCGCATGGGAAGCTGGAGCTGACAGATGGGAGCTCACCCCACTCCCCAGATAGGGACTTTTTGCGCATGCGTCGGAGAGAGCAGACGCTCAACAAACCCTCTCCCCAGATCCTTAAATGTATAGCCCCAATTAAAGACCCCAATTAAAGACTTCCAACCTTCCAATCAGCAGTCCTGCCAGCACAAGGGTTTAACCCATAATTAAACTAGCAAAATTATAGTAGAACCCTCCGACTGTGCAGACAAACTATCCCAAACTACAGAGGAACTGTGAAGAAAACGGCTATGTTATCCTGCTTTTTTCCCAGCCCTGGAATTGAAGGCAGTTTGTATTCTTGCCTCTTTTGGTCTATGTAGCATGTGTGAAGAGACTGTTGCACACCGGACAATACGGAGGTTTCCTTTTTAAGGCCTGGAAAAGCTACTCTGTGTGATCCCAACTTCCAGGAATCTCTCGGGGACATGCTGGCTAGGAGATTCTGGAAATTGCAAGTCCCCAAAAGTAACTTTTCCAAATTCTCTTTACCCATACAATTCATCTGTGCTAAAAAGGTAAAGGTAGTCCCCTGACATTAAGTCCAGTCATGTCTGACTCTGGGGTGTGGTGCTCATCTCCATTTCTAAGCCAAAGAGCCGGCGTTGCCCGTAGACACCTCCAAGGTCATGTGGCCGGCATGACTGCATGGAGCGCCGTTACCTTCCCGCCGGAGCGGTACCTATTGATCTACTCTATCATCTGTGCTATTAAAACCATTAAAGCAGTGGTTCGGTTTTGGTCCCAAGGTGATTTTGGCCTTCCACTCCCACAAATCCTAACAGCTGGTAAACTGGCTGGGGTTTCCGGGAGTGGGAGGCCAAAAACACCTGGGGAGGGACCCACAGGTTGAGAACCACAGCATTACAAAGACGGCAAGGACCAGGGATCGTAGCACCATTCCGCAGGGGAGTTACCTTTGCAGATGCTCCACTCTCCATTTCCAAAATGACCAGCGGCTGGTTAGGATGGGCCTCAATCAGCTGCTTCATCTTGTCAAGAACCTGTGGGAACAGCCAGACATTAACTCTCCTGGAAGATGCCAGTGGTAGGAAGAAAGAGCAGACAGCAGGTGCAGATAGAGATGTCCAATATTATATTTTGACCTCTGGCAGGGTATTGATGTTGGTGTTATCGTCTAATGTTTATTGCTATTGTTTTAATGTTTATTGCTTGTTTTATGAGTTTATTTATTGTTGTATCTGTTATGCTGTTGTTTTAACAGGAGCAGGACGCAGGGAGCACACAACGCCCCTGTTGTTCCAGCTCCACTGGTTGCCGATTTGCTACTGGGCCCAATTTAAGGTGCTGGTGTTGGCCTACAAAGCCCTAAACGGTTCCGGCCCAAAATACCTTTCTGACCGCATCTCGGCCTATGAGCCCACGAGGACCTTGAGATCGTCTGGGGAGGCCCTTCTCTCGATCCCGCCTGCCTCACAGGCACGTCTGGTGGGGACGAGAGATAGGGCCTTCTCGGTGGTGGCCCCCCGCTGGAGCACCCTCCCTGTTGACATCAGACAGGCGCCCTCACTTATGGCATTCCGTAAGAGCCTAAAAACATGGCTATTCGAAAAGGCGTTTAACTAAGTGCTATAACAATTGGCAATGACGACTGGAACGGAATATGGATTACGAGATTGGCTTATGATTCTATGTTGAGACGACGCGGATGATTTAGTTTAATTATATGTTTTGTAAACTGTTTTTATATGTTGTACACCGCCGTGAGTCGCCCTAAGGGGCTGAGAACGGCGGTCAACAAATGCAATAAATAAATAATAAATAAATAAATTATTGATGTGTTGGGCCTCGGCCTCTTGTAAGCCGCACCAAGTCCTTCGGGAGATGGTAGCGGGGTACCCTGGCCAAATCCAGCTTCACGAGGTACGGTCGCAGTTGACACGTGAGTCTCAATTGTGCAAAGGCCCTCCCGGCCACCGCCAACGCCTGAGCTTCAAGCGTCAGTGATTATGAGTCCAGGAGGACACCCTAATCTATTTTGTATTTATGTTTTTATATTGTTGTTTATTGTGATTTGCCGCATCGAAATGTTGCCAGGTTGAGAAGGGCAGGGTAGAAATGTTGTAAACAAATAATAAATAAATAAATATGTTCTTGCCTTTTACCATTTTAATCAGAGACTCTTCTTCCGTTTTGGATGAAGATTTAGGCCACAGTGCTTACGTTGACTCACTGATACGCGTACAAGCTTTGGAGGTCATTTTTTAAACGAAAATTCCTTGGTTGTTGTAGGTTTTTTCGGGCTATATGGCCATGGTCTAGAGGCAATCTCTCCTGACGTTTCGCCTGCATCTATGGCAAGCATCCTCAGAGGTAGTGAGGTCTGTTGGAACTAGGCAAAAGGGTTTATATCTCTGTGGAATGACCAGGGTGGGACAAAGAACTCTTGTCTGATGGAGCTAGGTGTGAACGTTTCAACTAAAAAAGGCTGGACCACTCTCACAACCACCATGTCAGACTCCACAGAGAAGCCATTGAAATCCACAAGAAGCACGTGGACAATCTCAACAGAAAGGAGGAAACCATGAAAATGAACATCTGGCTACCAGTATTAAAAAACTCTAAAATTACAACAGCACAACAACAGACAGGAAACAAACAAGGACATCTAATCACCTCTCAACAAAAGTTTGCTCCAGGCACTGCCAGGCCATCATATGCTAATCAAGGTGGTCAGTTGAAACATTGACTCCTAGCTCCAGCAGACAAGAGTCCTTTGTCTCACCCTGGTCATTCCACAGATATATAAACCCTTTTGCCTAGCTCCAACAGACCTCACTACCTCTGAGGATGCTTGCCACAGATGCAGGCGAAACATCAGGAGAGAATGCCTCTAGAACATGGCCATACAGCCTGAAAAAACCTACAACAACCCAGAAAATTCTTCGACTTGCATATAAGTGTAGGGCTACTCACTCGTTTCTGGATGTCAGCTTTGCAGGCCCGATCCAAATCATCCATGATCTTCTTCAGGGCTTTGAGGGAGTCCCTGAGCTCATCTTTCTGCCACTGGGGAATGACCGCCGTGGCCAGGCTCTGCCGGAGGAAGAATTTCAAGTCAACAAGTAATAGGGACATCACGGGATGCTCTTTGCTACAAGCAGAACTCCCATGTTTTCACATCTAAGATCATTGGTATGTTGTTGTTCATTCATTCAGCTGTTTCGACTCTTCGTGACCTCATGGACCAGCCCAGGCCAGAGCTCCCTGTCGGCCGTCACCACCCCCAGCTCCTTCAAGGTCAAGCCAGTCCCTTCAAGGATCCCATCCCTCCATCTTGCCCTTGGTCGGCCCCTCTTCCTTTTTCCTTCCCTTTCTCCCAGCATCATTGTTTTCTCCAAGCTTTCCTGTCTCCTCATGATGTGGCCAAAGTCCTTCATCTTGGCCTCTACTATCCTTCCCTCCAATGAGCAGTTGGAATTTATTGGTATACAAGAGCAGAATTAACCTTTTTAGAATCTAAACTCATTCCGAGCCCTCGGGATTCTCGACAGTGGTGGTTCTCAACCTGTGAGTCCCCAAGTGTTTTGGTTTACCAGCTGTTAGGATTTTTGGGATTTGAAGGCCCAAAGGTTGAGAGCCACTGCTCTACAGGTAAACATGGCTTAAGGTCCACTCTCAGAAATTCTGCAATATCCCAAGGAGCCAGAAGATCCCTATCCTTGAGCAAACGGGTGCTGCCTTTGCTGGCACACAGGTGAGCCCTCTGACAAAAATGCCAAACAATGTGCTCCCATCCCCTCTTCCTCCGCGGCCTCCGTACCTCGCCAAGGTCTGCAATCTCATGTTGGACGTCTTTGTTCGGAGCAGTCTGCACCTTCACTTTGGCTTCTAGGCCAGCAAGCAGCTTTTTAAGACTTTCAGCTTTCCGCAGGGCCTGGAAGAGAAGGATGTAAAGGGTTCTTCATTCCACTTACTGTCTATACTCGAGTATAAGCCTAGTTTTTCAGCCCCTTTTTTAGGCTGAAAAAGCTCCCCTTGGCTTATACTTGAGTCAATGTTATTTACTATTTTACTCTGTTATTAGTATTATTTTTATTGCATTTATTATTTTACGCTATTTATTATTATTATTACATTTATTATTTTGCTCTATTTATTATTGTTATTATTACATTTATTATTTTGCTCTATTTATTATTGTTATTACATTTATTATTTTACTCTCTTATTACTGTTATTACATTTCCATTATTTTACTCTATTATTATTATTACATTTATTAATTTTTACTCCCTTTATTATTATTGGAAGGATATGCAAGCACATTTACATTGATTTATTATTTTACTCTGTTATTAGCATTATTTTATTACATTTATTATTTTACTCTATTATTATATTTACGTTATTTTACTCTATTATTATATTTACGTTATTTTACTCTATTATTACATTCGCAGTATCACATTATCACATTCACGCAATGGCTCCATTGCATCCTAGTCTCCAGGGCAGCAGAAAACAAGTTTGCTCCCTCCTCCCTATTATTATTATTATTATTATTATTATTATTATTATTATTATTATTATCTTTATTTGTACCCCGCTAGCATCTCCCGAAGGACTCGATGCGGCTTACACAGGTCGAGGCCTCAATAAAACATAGCATAACAAATACACAACTTAAAGCAAATCAAAACAATTAAAGCAATATCAAACAACAAAACAATAAAAACAATACACCAAAACACAATAAAACTAGGGCCGGGCCAAATGTAATGGGTACAGGTTAAAAGTGCTGATGTGACAGGTGGTATATCAGATTTTAGGGTAAGTGCAGTGTGCACTTCCCTAGAACTTCCTCTCACATATTTATACATGGCCCTCATCATATCTCCTCTCATCCTTCTCTTCTTCAGGCTAAACATGCCCAGCTCCTTAAGCCGCTCCTCACAAGACTTGTTCTCCAAACCCTTGATCATTTGAGTCACCCTCTTCCTGTGGACACATTCCATTATTTTATTCTATAATCATTTTACTGTATATATTACTGTTTGATTACATTTATTATTTTACTTTATTATTATTGGAAGGATATGAAAGCACCTTTACATTGAAGAATGTAATTATTATTATTATTATTACATTATTTTACTCTATTATTATTCTATTTCTTATTTTACTCTATTATTATTATTATTATTATTATTATTATTATTACATTTACAGTATTTTTATTATTTTTATTACATTTATTATTTTAATCTATTTATTATTGTTGTTGTTGTTACTTTTACAGTATTTTACCCTATTATTTACCCAGTTATCATTCTGAATTGTAGCTCCCAGAATCCCCCAGTCATTCTAGTCAGCAGATGGTCCAAAAGGACAGCTTGCCAAGCTCTGTAACGAACCCATCCCCATCCACCTGCCCACTTGCTACCACTCACTTTCTGGGCTTCTGCTCCAGTGACCGCCACGATTCTCCGGATGCCCTTCGCAATGGCTTCTTCTGACACGATGACAAAGTGACCGGCATGGCTGGAGTTCTGCAAATGCCTGAGAAAAGAGCACAGCTTGGTCAATCTCACCAAGTGCTGAAGCAGAAGGTGTCTCCAACTGGAAGAATCTGGCTTTATAGTTCACACACAATCAAAGAGCATTCTGAACTCCACCAGCGATGGAATTGAACCAATCTTGGCACACAGAACTCCCATGACCAACAGAAAATACTGGGAGGGTTTGGTGGGCATTGACCTTGAGTTTTGGAGTTGTAGTTCACCTACATCCAGAGAGCACTGTGGACTCAAACAATGATGGATCTGGACCAAACTTGGCATGAATACTCAATATGCCCAAATGTGAACACTGGTGGAGTTTGGGGAAAACAGACCTTGACATTCGGGAGTTGCCGTTGCTGAGATTTATTGTTCACCTACAACCAAAGAGCATTCTGAACTCCACCAATGATGTAATTGAACCAAACTTGACACACAGAACTCCCATGACCAACAGAAAAAACCAGAAAGGTTTGATGGGCATTGACCTTGAGTTTGGGAGTTGCAGTTCACCAACATCCAAACAGCACTGTGGACTCAAACAATGATGGATCTGGACCAAACTTGGCATGAATATTCAACATTCCCAAATGTGAACATCGATGGAGTTTGGGGGAAATAGACCTTGACATTTGGGAGTTGCCATTGTTGGGATTTATAGTTCACCCACAATCAAACAGCAATATGAACTCCACCAATGATGGAATTGAAACATTCTTGGCACACAGAACTCCCATGATAAACAGAAAACATGGGGAGGGTTTGGTGGTCATTGACCTCGAGTTTGGAAGTTGTAGTTCACCTACATCCAGAGAGCAATGATGGATCTGGATCAAATTTGGCACAGATACTCAATTTGCCCAAATGTGAACACTGGTGGAGTTTGGGGAAAACAGACCTTGACATTTGGGAGTTGCCGTTGCTGGGATTTATAGTTCTACTACAATCAAAGAGCATTCTGAAACCCACCAACGATAGAATTGGGTCAGACTTCCCACACAGAACCCACATAACCAAAAGAAAATACTGTTGTTTTCTGATGGTCTTTGGCGACCCCTCTGACGCCCCTTGCCGCCCCCCCCCCCCCCCCGGGGTCCCAACCTCCAGGTTGAGAAAGGCTGCCCTAGACCCCCTGGCTCTACTTACGTTCCTCCACAGAACTCAACAGATGTTATGGCGCCTGCAGCGTTGGAGGGGTCTACCAGCATGTCTTCAATGGGAATGCCAATGGAGATGACTCGGACAGGATCAGGGTAGGTCTCGTCAAACACTGCCCTCAAGCCTTGGATGGCTTTGGCCGCTGCCAACGGGCACTCCTTGGCATACACCACCTAGGGAAGAGACCACCATTAAGGTAAAAGAACACAGTCCATGCACTTGCCTACAGTTACGAAATGAGCAGCTTAATTTAAGGCAGGTATAACCATCACACAGCTGCTCAACAAATTATAACGAAACGTGGGGAAAAGTAGGGAACTTTATTCGTTAATAAAAATCCCAACGCTGCTTAGACAAATTATAACGACCACACAGCAGCCTACCAAATTATAACAATGACACCACTACAGGTTAGCTCACCAAAGTATGGAGGGAGTAATGGTTGTTGAAACCAACTGTATATTTAGAAGTTAGGAACTAGGAACCACTGGAACTGCGAGACTTAAAAGAATTCTTTAAAGGGTTTCCGCTGCCACCATATTACTAATGAACAGGCTGAGGTACTATTGAGAGGTTGTTCAATAACGCACTCTGTGTTACTCTAGTTTTCTTAGAAGCTGGTAAAAAACTGACTTGAATAACACTTTTACCACAAGGGTATTCACACTGAGGCTGATATGTTGGTAAAAATAACAAGAACTATTATTGAACAGACTTGGATATTTTAGGTACAAATGCTTGATGGTTTCAGTAAAAATCTGGCATCAAAAAGCTTGTGGTTACATTTGAGAAGATCTTAAAAACTTCTGGGTTACAAGTCTTAAAGTTTCCACACAGAAAATTACTTCAGGAAATGAATCTCTGAAAGTAACTCCCACAAAAAAATCCCCCTTAGGAATCTTGCCAAAACGTGAACTAGCCTTCCTTAGGAAAAGAACAGACCACTAACGGGGTTCTGCTCCCCACAGTATTCTAGCTATATTTCTCCATAGCTACCCTAAATACTAAACAAAAGTTCTTAAAAACCCCAAACTGCTCTCACTAACACCCAACGTCTTCACTCTACCCTTTCCAAGCTCCAACTCCCAACTGTCAAACTGGGAAACTCAAGCCTCAGTTTAAAAGTCACTTTTTTTCCTTCAGATCACTTAGGCTCCGCCCCATCCTTTTAACCAATCCTAGCCTTCTAGCTTTCCCCCCAAGACTAAAACACGCCCCTTTGAGGCAAACCTAACCTAAGATGGTGTTTCCCTGTCTCCCTTCTCTAAAATGGATGCCGTGGCTTCGCCAGGCCCACTTTCCTAGGCCTAAGCTAGCTTGCCAAAGTAAGGGATTCATTACAGCAGGCAACAAAGGAAGGCGGACTCACTGTAACACAGCAGTGGAAACGGCATTCTCTCCCATCCTACCTTAGCTTCCTCAATCATCTGATTCACAATTGCTTCTGCCTTCTTGATTTCCTGAGTGGACATCGCGCCTTTGGCCGTGAAATCAAACCGGAGCCTGTCCGGGGCGACCAAGGACCCGCGCTGGTCGGCTTCCCCCAAAACAGCACGCAAGGCGAAGTTGAGGATGTGGGTGGCTGTGTGGTTACTCATGACAGGCCTCCTCCTCGGCTGCAAGGCAGAGATGGATATGTGAGTGACCATTTCCCAAACTCATATCCCACAGGGCAGTCCTTGAGAACACAAAGGTCAGCTATCCCAGTCTCCAAAACAGTCTTCTGCTAATCCCGATCCTTCATATGATGGCAGCATAATAATAATAATAATAATAATAATAATAATAACAACAACAACAACACCACTTGGAAAGTGTTCAACTTGTGATTTTGTGATATGAAATCCAGCATATAGATCTCATTTTCTGTGACATACTGTGTTTTTGTGTCAGTAAAATAATAATAATGATGATGATGATGATGATGATGATGATGATAACATATTCCCCGCCTCAACCTTCCTAATGCTACGAGCATCGAGGACCACCTCCTTGATGGTCACCAAAGACCCATTAAGGAGAGGTTCAACAGAATTTAAATTGAAATCTTAAATTCAAATGAGGATATTCTATTTAGGTATATGACAACAGCCACCAGAATAGTCTATGCGAAAGTTTGGAAACAGAAAGAAATACTAGAGAAGCAACACTAGAAAAAAAAAGTTAAATGAAATTAAAGACATGGACATAATAATTTTTCTCTTTTATTAAAAAGGAATGCAAGCAACCCGGTTAAACAAACAAATTGGTCAATAATCAATAATTGATGACTATATGTAAAATAGACATAAAGACAAGTAACTGGACTCAGCTCACAACCAAGAAACACAAAAATGGATTTATATAAACACAGACAAAAAGAGACAAAAACAGGCAGAATTAGAAGGAAGTCCTTTTTCTCCTTTTTCTTTCTTTCTTTTTTTAAGGGTCGTTTCTTCTTTTTGGGACCTGTATATATCCCCCCCCCCACACACACACACACTTTTTTTTACATTTTTTACATTTTTTTTCTTTTACTTTTAAAAATATATAATTTCCTACTTTTCTATCTTCTTGAAAATATTCACCCTCTTTCCATGTATTCTATATTTTTTCAATAAAATAAAAATATTTCTCAAAAAAAAAAGGAGAGGTTCAACAGAACGATAAAACACAACACTGTTAAAATACATATAACACACACACACACACACACACACACCAATAAAATGAAGATGAAAATTCACAGGCTGTTACTAAGGTAATATGCTTGAGGAATGGAATGAATGAACCTCGTATCATAAGATGGAATGGGATTTTTTGGCTGACATGCAGTGTAACATGTAAATAATAATAATAATAATAATAATAATAATAATAATAATAATCTTTATTTATTAATTATTAATTTTATTTATTCTGTAATGTGTTGGGTTGTTGACTGTTTTTACACTGTAGCATTGAATTTTTGCTGTTCTTATTGCTGTTCTTATTGAGTCGCCTTCGGGCTGAGAACAGCAGTATATAAGTAAAATAAATAAATAAATATTTATACCCCGCCACCATCTCACCCAACGGGGACTCGGGGCGGCTCATTATTTAAATTTAAATAATGAATTTAAACTCAATTTAAATTTAAATAATTTAAATGTAAATAATTCAAATTATTTGAATTTAAATTTAAATAATTTCAATTTAAGTAATGAATTTAAATAATGAATTTAAACTGAAAGTACTTTGAGTTGGGATGCAGAATGGAGCTCCTTTGTTCCGCCTGGAGTCACTTACCTCATCGATATACAAGCGCACCGTGTCTCCCACCTTCAGGCTGCCATAGACGGTGCCGACATGGAGGACGTACCCTCCGCGCACTTGGACATTTTTCACGGTAAACTCGGTCTTCTGCAGAAACCAAAGAACAAGTCTCAGCCGACTACCAACAAGGGCAGGAATATAACCAGGAGGCACCTCTTTCAATCAGGAACCAACTAAAACAATGTTTCTCAACCTGGGGGTTGGGACCCCTGGAGGGGGGTCGCGAGGGGGATTCAGGGGGGTTGCCAAAGACCATCAGAAAACATATATTTCTAATGGTCTCAAGAAACCCTTTGACAGAGAAGGCTGAAGGTTGTGGCGCAGCTGGCTGGAGGTCAACTGCATTAATAAATAATAATAATAATAATAATAATAATAATAATAATAATACTTTATTTGTACCCCGCCACCATCTCCCCAAGGGACAAGGTGTGGCTTACATGAGGCTGAGCCCACAATACAACAATAAACAATAACAACAATAATACAAAATAATAAATAACTCATAAGCAAAAATAAGCAATAAATATTAACAGTAACACGACGCATTTAAAAACCTATGGCTGGGCCAAATGTAATAATTAAAAATTTTAAAAAATATGCTGGGCATGACAAGATGACATATGACTAGGACAGACATTTTGGAGAGGGATGAAGTGTGCAAACAAACCTAGATCAATATGTCCCTAAAAGTGCGTTTAGGGACATATTGCTAGGAGTTTCCTTATTCTGGGAAGGCACACTGAAACAGCCACGTTTTCAGGCTCCTCCTAAAGACTGCCAGAGTTGGGGCTTGTCTAATATCCCTGGGGAGTAAGTTCCAGAGTTGAGGGGCCACCACCGAGAAGGCCCTGTCCCTCGTCCCTACCAATCGTGCTTGCGGCGCAGGTGGGATCGCAAGCAGGGCCTCTCCAGATGATCGAAGAGATCATGTGGGTTCGTATACAGAAATGCGGTCACGCAGGTAGGTGGGTCCCAAACCATGCAGGGCTTTGTAGGTAAGCACCTGCACCTTGAATTGGGACATTAAAATGACTACTGACCAAAAAGTCATGAGTTTGAAGCCAGCCCGGATCGGAGTGAGCTTCCGGCCATTTGTCTAGCTTGCTCTCAACCTTTGCAGCCCAAAAGACAGTTGCATCTGTCAAGCAGGAAATTTAGATACTGCTTATGCAGGAAGGCTAATTTAACTAATTTATGACGACACAAAACCTTTCAGCAGCGTGCAGAAGAATGAGGAAGTACTCCATCAACGACTCAGTGTCAGAAGTGTTAGATTCCATAAGCGATAATAGTTCCGTACTACAGGCAGTCCCCGAGGTACAAGCATCTGATTTACAAATAACTCACAGTTAAGAACGGGGGTGAGATAACAAGATGTGAGAAAAATCTTTTGCTTGTAAACTTGGGGACTGCCTGTAATATCCTGGAGAAAAAGCGCAAACAGGTCATAGTGAAGACACAAGTGACAGAGGAGGGAGGAGGAAACTGACAACAACAATATCCCTCCCAAACTATGAAATTTCAAAGTGCTGGCTTTGACCTACAAAACCCTATACGGCTCCGGCCCAGTGTATCTGTCCGAACGGATCTCCCTCTACGTCCCACCCCGGAGTCTAAGATCTTCTGAGGAGGCCCAGCTCTCGACCCCGCCCCTATCACAAGTGAGGTTGGTGGGGACGAGGAGCAGGGCCTTCTCGGTGGTGGCCCCCCACCTATGGAATTCACTCCCTGGGGAAATTAGATCTGCAACATCGCTCCTTTCCTTCAGGAAAACACTAAAGACATGGATCTGGGACGAGGCATTCGGACAATCGGGCAGATAAAGAAAGGACTTTGACAATGGCCAGGAAATGAAATGACTAATGGAATGGAATTTGGAGCTCTGAAAGACGAACGCTGAGCATGTGAATAGTTTTTATATGATATGTTGTATATGGATTGTTTTGATTGTTTAACTGTTTTAACTGTGATAATTGTTTTAACTATGGTTTTGTACATTATGTGTAATTTGTATAGGCATCGAATTGTGCCTTTTTGTAAGCCGCCCTGAGTCCCCCCTCGGGGTTGAGAAGGGCGGGGTAAAAGTACCTGAAATAAATAAATAAATTAAATAAATCCTGATCACCAAGAATGACCAGGAAGGACTCCTTGTGATCCAACTTACATCTTCACTGCCGTCCTCCTCCTCCTCCTTCACGAGGTATCCCTCATCGTAGATCTGTCCTCCCTGCTCAGCATAAAAGCAGGTCTGGTCCAGCACGATCCCGCACTCCTGGCCCGTGGAAACCTCCTCCACAAAGGCCTTCTCCCGGCGGAGGGCTTTCACCGTGGCCTCCGGACTCTGGAACTCTAGGCAGTGGGGAAGAACAGAGAGGTTCAGGCCCAAAAGGGCTCTTCGCTGCCCTAGGAAAGAGCACCGCAACTGCAACATCTTTGGGATGTCGCAAGAATGCGGCATTCTCAATGTGCTGGCAGGCATTGTAGTTCACAACTCAAGTCTCTTCACGTGTTGGAGCTCAGCCTGTGATTGTGTTCCAGGATCAGGGTGCTTGGGATGTGGGGAGAGATGTCAATGAGTTGCAAGATGAGTTTCAAGATGGCAATGGTTTGGTCAGGGATCTTGATGCAGAGAAGGACCAGGAGATCCCTGTTCAAAGTGTAGTTTCTCATGAGAATGTCCCTGAGGGGTGTGGGGATGATGGTGTGCTGTCTAAATTGTTACCAGAGTTCCCATGATAGGGAACATGAAAACAGCTCAGCACCTGGCCCAGATGCAGAAATGAATGAGCAAATAGATAGAAGGGAAGAGATCAGTCAAAACAGGTGAGCCAAACAGTGGCTTTGGTGTTCTGCCAGGCTCCAAGAGAAAAAGATAAGGAATTCTCAGCTAAAGCAAAACCAATTTCTGAGCGTTAGAGACATAGCTAACGAGGAGATAAAAGTCCCAAGTACAGGATATGTAGTCAGATGAAGCATCGTTTGGAATCAAGTCAAGATCTCATCCTTGTTTCATGGAAGTTTTGCTTGGAAAATTCATGTTCACTGTGTTTCATGATTTTGATCTATGCTTATGTATTCATGCCTTGGATTCATGTTTCCTGATTTCTTGCATTTTATTTGGGAAGTATTGACTTTGTTTTTGTGGACTTTGCTGGACTATAACCCTGGACTACTTTGTTCCTGCTTATCTTCCTACCTAATTGGATTTACCTATTTCTGTGAAGTGTTTTTTACCTTACTGCTTTTTACTTATCTTCAATAAAAGGATTGTTTTCCTATTCAATGTGTGGGGTTTTAAAGTCAGGGTGATTCCTGTCCTGGAGTGCAACGACGACTAGATTTCATGTCAAGGGGAAACCTTTACTTTTACCATAAACTTGTTCTGTTGAAGCCAGTTTTGGGTTTGTTTGTTTGTTTGTTTGTTTGATTATTATTTTCTACGCATTCTCTGATGTAAGCATCCTCCCAATATGAGAGGAACAACTGCGTTACAGGAAATCCCTTGGGACCTACCATAGGTGCCGCTGGGATCAGATGCGTAGTTGTATTTCAGAGAGTCGTCGGTGGCTTTGAGTCCCTTGGAGCGGAGCTCCTCAATGGCGTAGATGTCCAACATGATGAGGTCCTCGTCGCCTCCCCCTTTGCCCTGGGACTTCAGCTGAGGATGGAACACACCAAGAGGTAAAAGACAGCCCCCACCACAGCAGAACTTTCCAAATTGTGTGTCGGCTGCAGTGTGTAGGTACGTTGCACAAATGTAACAAGTAGATGTGAAATAAGCAATTAATTATATATGTTTAAATATGATGATGATAATAATAATTATTATTATTATTATTATTATTATTATTATTATTATTATTATTTATAACCCACCAACATCTCCCCAAAGGGGACTCAGGGCAGCTAACATGAGGCCAAGCCCAAAATAATACAACATAATAAACACACAATAGCAAAATACATCATAACAAAAGCTTTTAAACAGAGGCTGGATGGCCATCTGTCAGGGGTGATTTGAATGCAACATTCCTGCTTCTTGGCAGGGGGTTGGACCGGATGGCCCATGAGGTCTCTTCCAACCCTTTGATTCTAGGATTCTATGAAATCAACAATATAAAACAGCATAATAAAACCAGACACAAAGGGCAAGCCAAATGTATGAGGTAAAATGTTAAAAAGTTCAAAAGGTATCAATGAAAGGGTTTCCTGAGGTGCGTTGTGCCCCCACACATTCCATTACCACAATTCCTGTACGTGTCCGTATCTCTTCTAAGGGAGTTTAACCTCCTATTTCCTAGCAAAACTGAATTACTGTGTTGCAAAGAGATGCCTGTCTAAAAAGTGTGTCAACAACATGAAATGTTTGGAAAGCTCTGCACTAAAGCATATTACCATGAGGTGAAAGTGTTGGGGGTAAAGAATAACCACCTCTTAATTTTGCCCCTGCTTTAGATTTTGCATTCTAACAACAACAACAACAACAACAACAACAAGTTTATTTATAGGCTACTCTCTCTCTCCCCGAGCTGCTTGGCCTAACAGCTCTTATTGCTTTCAGTCAATAAATTATATTGTCGAAGGCTTTCATGGCTGGAATCACTGGGTTGTTGTAGGTTTTTTGGGCTGTATGGCCATGTTCTAGAAGCATTCTCTCCTGACGTTTCACCTGCATCTTTGGCAGGCATCCTAAGAGGTTGTGAGTTTGTGGGGCTCCTGCAAAATGTCAGGAGAGAATACTTCTAGAACATGGCCATACAACTCAAAAAACCTACAACAACCCAGTAAATAAATTCCTCACAAGAAATGTGCAACTGGCAATATATAATCTGTATACACTTAATACTATATATATATATATACATATACACACACACACACACACACACATACACTAGCCATCCCCTGCCACGCGTTGCTGTGGCCCAGTCTGTGTATATGTATTTTGTGTGTTTTTATGTGTGTGTATATATGTGTATCTGCATATATCTGTGGTTTTGTGCATGTGTTGTAATGTTTTTTTTATTTGTTTGGTTTTTTAAGTTTCTTCTGCTGTGTTTTTATAAGTGATGGTTACTTGTTGGCCTGAGAGGTGTCTTGTGTCCAAATTTGGTGTCAGTTCGTCCAGTGGTTTTCCAGTTATGTTCATCCCACAAACGAACACTACATTTGTATTTATATATATATAGATATATAGTTTGAGCCTCCTCCAGATAAATTACTCTTCTTCTGCATTCTGGAATGCTAAACGTTGTCCTCTACTAGATCTCTCGGCTGGTGACGAGTCAAGTCTCATTCCTCACAAGAAATGTGCAACTGGCAATATATAATCTGTATGCACTTAATACTTAAATGTTATTGCATTTAATAAAAAAGCAAAAAAGTTTGAGCCTCCAAATAAATTACTCCTCTGTTGCATTCTGGAACGTTAAACGTTGTCCTCTACCTGACCTCTTGGCTGGTGCTGAGTCAAGTCTCACCTGGGCAGCCTTCCTCTCCTCTTCAAAGCTCTCCATGTCGACTTGGAGGCCCTTCTCCTCGGCAATGAGCCCGGTCAGGTCCACAGGGAAGCCGTAGGTGTCATACAGCAGCCAGGCTGTATCTCCTGGAGAAAGAGGAGAGAGGACGCGACAACTCTCAGACTCATAACACACCATACAACTTAGCTACAGAAGAGGAACAAATCTGCCAACTCTCGGGATTTCAAACTTGGTCCAAACCAGCTATGAAACTTTCAAAATATGGCAGACCTAGTGGGGGCATTGCCACTTTAATCAAAGGTGCATTAGGTTGGCAGGGAGAAGAAATCTCACTAAAAACTACTACAAACTGTATTAACATCCTTACAGTCAAATTAACAAATATTTCTGCCCCCTTGGCAAAAAGGAGTCCAACTATCATCCTCCTAAATGTTTATATACAACCTACAACATCAATGTCGGATAAATGGGATATATAGTCAATTTTTGAAGGGGCGCTGGAGGAAATTAATATGCGGTTCCCAGCAGCACAGACCATCATCCTGGGTGATTTCAACGCGAGACTGGGCAACTCCAAACTGAAGATTGCATCAGCTAGCAACATACAACTTTGCCGAGTTCTCTCATGATGGATTTCTGCAGGGTTCATAAAGGTGGCCTTGGCTCACTAGTCCCCTTTTCTTTCCCTTGCTCACTATTCCTCAAGCCATTAATCAAGCACAGGAGGCTGGAAAGAGAACCTTGTCGAGAAAGAAAGAAAAAAGCAGGAGAAAAGCCAATCACATCAGAGGAGGCCTTTTGGTGGGAGGATTCCCCATCTGTTTCCCAAAAGGAAGAGAAGGACAGGCGGAGAGATCTTCAGTCTTCTCTGCCAAAGGGGTACCTAAGACCATCAGAAATATATATCCCAACTCCCAGGTTGAGGAAACGTGGACTGAAGGGAAGAGGCATTGACAAAATACAACTAAACAATGACGAGACACACTCATAGGTGTTAACATGGCTCATGAAATTGGTACTAAATAATAAGAGGTGAAGAAGAAGGAAGAACAATATAAACAGGAGTTCTGTCTCCCCCCCCCCCCCTTGATCATGTATAAAAGAGTGTAGGCCTGTGGAACCTGCTACTCCTATGGATATTGTTGAATCCCATTTCCATCTGATGCAGCTAACATGGTGAAGGGTGTGGAGACTTAATACCTCGTTTATTGTATGTAATTTATTTCAATGCTGCATGTCACAGACGTGTGCTTTTCACCTTAAGAACAGAAAAGCATCTCCAGCTCTGAGGTTGACCTGGGAAGGAATTCCACTGGAGCAGGGGTCGGGAACCTTTGGCCCTCCAGCTGTGGTGGACTTCAACTCCCACAATTCCTTGAGGCTCGGCATTCGCCCCAAAGGCTTACCTTGGCCCAACGAGGTTTGTTTCGCTCTTTTTCATGGAGGATGGGCAGCAAAGGGGGAGAGACGAGCGTAACGTAGCTGTGCAGATGGCAAGGAAGGATGCGGAGCCTACAGACTGGCCTCGGAGGGAGAGAGCGGGCGGAAACCCCTGCGGGCAACGCGCCTCCTCGCCGCTTAAACAGCGCAGAGCCCTTTCCCTCCAGCCTTCGCCTTCCCTTTTCCCCGACAAGCTCTGCACGACGTCACTCAGCCGGCGTCGTTGCTAGGGAGGGGGTCCATGCGGGGCGGGTGCTAAGGGCCGAAGCGGCGAGGAAGCGCGTTGCCCGCAGGGGTTTCCGCCCGCTCTCTCCCTCCGAGGCCAGTCTGTGGGCTCCGCATCCTTCCTCGCCATCTGCACAGCTACGTTACGCTCGTCTCTCCCCCTTTGCTGCCCGTCCTCCATGAAAAAGAGCCAAACAAACCTCGTTGGGCCAAGGTAAGCCTTTGGGGCGAATGCCGAGCCTCAAGGAATTGTGGGAGTTGAAGTCCACCACAGCTGGAGGGCCAAAGGTTCCCGACCCCTGCACTGGAGCATTGCAAACACCTCGGAGGAGTCACTCTGGACCGTGCTCTGACTTACAAGGAGCACTACTTGGTTGTCAAGCAGAAACTGGGCGCTAGAAATAATATCATATGAAAGCTGACTGGCACAACCTGGGGATCACAACCAGACACAGTGAAGACATCTGCCCTTGCGCTATGCTACTCTGCTGCTGAGTATGCATGCCCAGTGTGGAACACATCTCACCACGCTAAAACAGTGGATGTGGCTCTTAATGAGACATGCCACATTATCACGGGGTGTCTGCGCCCTACACCACTGGAGAAATTACACTGCTTAGCCGGTATTGCACCACCTGACATCCGCCGGGAAGTAGCAGCCAATAGTGAAAGGACCAAGGCAGAGACATCTCCAGCTCATCCCTTGTTTGGGTATCAGCCAGCATCAATGCCTCAAATCAAGAAATAGCTTCCTAAGATCTACAGAGACACTCGCTGGAACACCTCAGCAAGCAAGATTCCAAAAGTGGCAGGCTCAAACCCAGAACCTCAATCAGTGGCTGAGACCAGGTGAAAGACTTCCTCCTGGGCACACAGGAAACTGGGAATGCTATGAACAGACTGTGCTCTGGCACCACGAGATACAGAGCCACAAAGTTGAATCCACGACATGCGAGTGTGGAGAAGAGCAAACCACTGACCACCTGCTGCAATGCAACCTGAGCCCCGCCACATGCACCATAGAGGACCTTCTTGCAGCAACACCAGAGGCACTCCAAGGGGACAGATACTGGTCAAAGGACATTTAGTACCTTGTTTGTGTTTTTTAAATACATTACAACTGTACCCTGAGTTCGCTTCTGACATGATAAATAAATAAATTTATTTCAATTACATGCCACCTTTCTCCTGAAGCAGAACCAAAGGTAGCTCACAGAAATTAATTAAAATGCAGCAACAACAAAATTAAAACAATAAATTCATGGGAGAGCTGTATCTCCCTTACTTTTAGTCCTCTTGTCTTCATAATATTTTAAGTCAGGAAAGAGGAATTTCTTTTTGTGCCACACAGACAATTATTATTATTATTATTATTATTATTATTATTATTATTACTTTATTTGTACCCCGCTAGCATCTCTCGAAGGACTCGATGCGGCTTACACAGGCCAAGGCCTCAAAACACAATACAACAATACAATACATAAAGCAAATTAAAAATGGTTAAGCAGAATAAAACAAACAATAAACAAAACACCAAGACACAATAAAACTGGGCCGGGCCAGAGTAATGGGTACAAGATTAAAAGTGCTGATGTGACAGGTGATATGTAAGGATTATAGGGCAAGTGCAGTGTGCGGTGTGCGGCAATCTTAATTCTACTAAAGTGCTTCTAGGACTTGGTATTGGAGGTTCCTAATCTGAGAAGGCACATTGGAACAGCCAGGTCTTCAAGTTCTTTCTGAAGACTGCCAACGTAGGGGCCTGTCTAAGATCTTTGGGGAGGGTGTTCCAGAGTCGGGGGGCCACCACGGAAAAGGCCCTGTCTCGTGTCCCCACCAAGCGCGCTTGCGACGCAGGCGGGATCACGAGCAAGGCCTCTCCAGATGACCGAAGTGAACGTGTGGGTTCGTAAACGGAGATGCGGTCACGCAGGTAGGATGGTCCCAAACCGTTTAGGGCTTTGTAGGTGAGCACCTGCACCTTAAATTGGGCTCGGAAAATAAACGGCAGCCAGTGGAGCTCCTTGAACAGGAGGGTTGACCTCTCTCTGTAAGGAGCACCAGTTAACATCCTGGCCGCTGCCCGTTGGACCAGTTGAAATTTCCGAGCCGTTTTCAAGGACAGCCCCACGTAGAGCGCATTACAGTAGTCCAATCTAGAGGTGACCAAGGCATGGACCACCCCGGACAGATCAGCCTTCGCGAGGTACGGTCGCAGTTGCG